CCCCTACTTAGCACATCACATCACATGGTCTTCATCGCTCTCAACTTCTCGACAGACATGGAAGCATCTCTTCCCTCAAGAGAATCCAACTAGCCACACCAGTTCTTCGTCATGTCATTGACGTCAGTAGCCTGTCCTCAACCTACCGGTTCTTCTTGTCTACCGCACTTCCTAGTGCTATTGACCTCACGTTTCCTGGATTAACTGGCCGTTCCCCCACCCTCCCTCAGTCAACACAACACCATATATGGTCTTAATCGCTCCCCGCTGCTCCCATTGGTCCGTTCTCCCTAACCACCCCCCCTGCCTACTTCGTATATAAGCAGCGATTTCACATCCTATCACTATAGCTACTGCTCTCCGCATTCCAAGCTATTCAACTGCTCTGAAGATGGAGGCGCTACGTTCCTCCGAAACGTCGGCCAAAACGAAGAACACACGGTGCCTAAACCCAGAAGACGACTTTCTTCATTGTCATCGCCGTGAAAACCTCAAAACTTAAGAAACCTCATCTTGTTTAATCAGTGCAGTGGCTGAGAATAAAATATAAGCATATGAAACATGGTAACTGGGATAAAATAAAATGAATAAAATTCGACAATTAATTTCTTACAATAGGTAAAAGTTCGCGTCACACCTTCCACCTTGTGATGGCACACCGGTTGCGGAACACTGCTTTAAAGTACGTTCTTTCATTAGCTAAACATAAATTTTGTCTATCAGCAATAATTTTTCTTTTCTTCGCCTTCAAAAATTTCTGCACCCCACCCTGTATGAAGCCTGTCTGATGTACATGTTTTGCCTGATAGAAAAAATGTATTTAGATTCAGCATTAATATTAAAATGAAAGGAAATATGTTTACACATTGCAACAGCATTACCTGTATAACAGCAATGCAATGTATGAAGTTTCACAAAAAAACTGTGAAGGTGCTCAAACTATATAATATGAGAAATTTAATTTAGGTCCCAACATGAAGCAGTCCTTAAAATAGCCAACTCTGTGCAGCAGGGTCCTTCATGATCAGTTAGCCAGGACATTCTCCACCTTACATGGAATTCAAACGTTCACTGCTGTGTCCACAAGAACCTGTCACTGGTCATTACCATGGGTCAGATGAACTCAGTCCACACCCTCCTTCCCATTCTGTTAATATTTAGTTTAATATTATTCTCCCATCTGCACCTAATTCTGTCAACAGGTCTCTTCTTTTTAAGTTTCCCAAATAAAATTCTGTATTTGCTTCTCATTTCTTCTGTACGTGCTCAGACTATCCAGTCTTCCTTGATTTAATTATTCTTAAAATATCTGGAGGACAGTGCAATTATAAAAATTATCATGGAACCTTCCCCAGCATCCTGTCACTTCCTTCACATTAGGTCAAAATATTCTTCTCAGTGACCTGTTCTCGAATACCCTCAGTTCATATCATTATTGCACCCTCAAATACATACAAAACAATACTATATTAAAAGATAAAGGTAAAGTTTTCCCATGCTTAACTGACGATACATGGGGGAGTGAAGGTTTAGTTCCTCCAATCTTGTCCTCAGCACTAGAGGTAAATGGTCAGCTTTGTGCCCTGCAATATTATATTATAATTTGAATATTTTAATCTTCATGATTTTAAAAAATCAGTATGGCTTGAAAAGACATCGTGTTACTTGCTTCTAACCATCTGACTCAGACTGAGTATGTTACTGGCATGAGGCATATTACTTGTAGGTTGGCATGCAATAGATGGATAGACATAACAAAGCAAACTTCAAAATATTTTTGCATCTAGAAATGTCAGCCAATCAAGAGAGCATGCAGTTAGTGTCTAGCATGAAATAGGACTCCAGATTTGAATTCTGCACAAATGTTCTGTCCTCATTATTCAGTATTCTTGTGCATAGTCCTAAAGGGGCCAAGACCACGTAATGAGCGACATCCCATATAAGAAATCCTCTTGGGTGTCCTTAATTAGCCGAGTGTCTGATCACCTACATCTGAACTGGCCAGTATGTTTCATGCTTGAAAAAGGAATGTAGACAAAAGTGTGACATTTCCATGAAAAACAGTCACCAACTTAGTGTATAAAATTATGACAAAAATAAAAACATATGAAACTTTATATGAAAAGAATGGATCACTACCTGTGGTCACATTAAATGCCAGACTAATGGTATACAAACTGTTCCTCAATTTATATTACAATATTTTCTCAAATTCCATGAAAGTTGCATAAATAACTAATGAGAGCATGACTGTGAAAGATGCCTGGATAGTATATAAGAAGAAGCAACCACACTGTACTTTTAAGGTACTGTACCTCAAGAGACAGTAAAGCAACAAAAGAATCAAACAACCAGTGTTTGAGCTGGTATTTCATGAATAAGAAGCAGGCAACCTAAACACTACATCACAACATTCAATATTCATGATTCTAAACAATATATCTTTTTAATAGACCACCTGGATAGGTATAAACCATAGTGCATTAATGACATCTTCTGGACCTCTATTCAGAGGGTTCATATACAAGTTCATCTGTATACATACACACAGTATGTACAATATGTTATAAATACATGTACAAGGTAAGTTACACTTGGAACAGAATCTGTGGCTGGACTGTTACACTTGCTGTATGGGTGATCCCAAAATTGAGGGATTGTGATGGTGCATGAGATGACTGGTGTGTAAGAAAATGCATGCCATACCCAGGATTCAAACCTGTAATCTCATCATTCACTCAGTCTAGGACCATCCTAAATCCATGAAGTTTCTGAAATCAGAATTCTCTGATCTGACTCCAGATACTGGGGTATGCAATTCAGTTCTTTTAAATATATTCTCTTTAATTCTTAGTTAATAACGTAAGTATTAATTATTAAAATATTAATATCTGCAGTGTTCAAAGAGTTTGAGTATCTACTGGAGAGGCAAGCTGGGCCGGATAAGTTGATGCAATGGTTTGAGACAGTGGTGGAGCGTTATGTGACAGCAGCGGCCAGAAAACGTGGTTGCCCAGTGAGACAGATTGCTCGCCACTTCTTGCTCATCTGGGTCACTGTAGGGACCAGAGTCCTTCGTGATCTAACTCTCGCCTCCACACTTTCATTTGGTGAGTCATGAAAGTCATCTAGTCACACATGTACTTCATCTGCCTAAGAAAAGCTAAGAGGAATCTTTTTTTTCTCTCTCTCATCAGGCATGAGTCAATAACAGCTTAATTCCAAGTGAGCAATCACTCACACATTCATATTTCTGAAGCACAGTTTTTCACTTTTGCAAATATGTTGTAATACATAATGTTCATACCCTGAATTGATCATGGATGGAATTTTCATACCTCAGAGAGTGACTGTACTGAATTTGCCTCTGTAATACTGTTGTACCTATGTATAATGTCTCCATCCAACATCAGCTCTGAATTAAATTTTCATTGACAAAGTTAGGGAAAGGCATGCAAAAAAAAAAATTTGCATTGGATCCAGCTACTCTCAAGCAAAAGAACTTTCGTTCAAAAGTCTGGCATATGTAGTTACTTACCTACTATTCTGTGGATTCCATAGGCTCATTCCACATGCTCAGTCTGCTAGCCAATGATTATCTGGCACACACTGTTGAGTTGCTGGAAGCTGAAGAGCGGACATCTGAAATGATGCAGAACATCTCAATGGATGGTGATGCAACAGCAATTCCAGAAGCACCTGGAAAACAAACTGTGCCCTCATCAACCAACACAAGTCAAGAAATTCTAGGTGGGTGTAACAACAAACTTATTTATACATTTTCAAAAATGTTGACTCTGGGCTACTTTTGTACAACCTTCAGCATACAATATTTACATCTGATGTATGAAAATTAGCCATCCCATTTGGGAACTGTAGGTAATGTATTTTGCATTATAGAATATTATTCTGTTCTATGCCATGCATAATACAAAGGAGAGCCAGTAAATAGGTCAAAAATTAAAAATAAAACACTTGCAATGGATGTAATAGGTTATCTATGTGTGTCACTAGATAGCAGCACAGTCCAGATTCTTGAAATTCTAGGTAGCAGATGCACATGTTCAGAGGCTGGTTTCAGTAGTCAAAATGGCAACTATGCTTGAGGACTGTTCTACTGAAGAACATCATTCTTTTGTGCATTTCTTGTGGCCAAAAGGACCCAATGCCAAGAATATTAATAACGAAATGTTCTCTGTTTACAGTGGGAAGTGTTTATTGCATAAGGCAGTCCATGACTGGGTTGAGAAATTCTCTCAAGGTCATTCAAAAGTCGCATATGATGTCCAAGTCACCCTGTTGAGATTGCAACAGAAGTAACTGTGCAGTGGGTGGAAGAGTTGATTTGAGCTCACAGGAAGATAATGATAGACAGTGTAGTAACTTCACTAGGGTGTTCCCATGGTTTAGCATACAGTATAATGCATGATCGTTTAAGTTTTGGAAAGTGTGGGCATAGTGGATGCCCAGAGAACTGAAGGATCAAGAAAAAATGAATTGAATGGGTCTATCCTTGCAACATCTCTTATGGTATGCAGATGAGGGAGGAGATATGGTTAACAGGGATGTTACTGGGACAAATCATGGGTGCATCACTACCAACCTGAATCAAAGCGTGCTTCTATGCTTCACATTCTCACTCAAGCAAAAAGTTTAGGGTTATACCATCAGCTGAGAAGGCTATGCTTACCATATATCAGGATTCTTAGGGAGTACTGTTAGCTCATTTTCTGAAGCGGGGTGAAATGTGAATTCTGCATCATAGTGTCAAGTTCTGTTGAAGCTTCAGGATGCAATTTGCAGAAATTGTCCAGGCCAACTGGCAAGACAGGTACTGCTTCATCATGACAATGCAAGGCCCCATAGCGTCCAAGAGCAGCCCAGGAGAAATTTCAAGAACTACAGTGGGAACTTCTTGACCATCCACCTTAAAGCCCAGACTTGGGCCCTAGTGACTTCCATCTGTTTGGTCTCCCAAAGAACTGCCTTGGTGGCAAATGTTTCACTGATGAAAGAGAGCTTGAAATGGAGGTGTGGAAGTGGCTGAGACAACAGTCAAAAGACTTCAGTGCTGCAGGTTTCGAAGCACTTGAAAAGCGATAGGCCAAGCGTATCAATTTTAGTGCAGGATATGCAAGAAACAAATGTTTTTCCAGGTTCAAATATCACATATTTTACATTTTATATTCATTTGTGACCTATTTACTGACTCTCCCTTGTATGTTCCATTTTCAGAGTCAAAGGAGAGTCAAGTGTAAAAATAAATTATGCAATTTCATAGGTCACAGAGAGATGTACATTCAGAAACTACAAAATCAAAAAGAATCACTATTTCAAGAAAATTATAAAAACTTATTTGAAACATTTTTTCATGGTTTAATCAAATTACATCACTAAGAAATGAGGTTTCTTCAGTCCTGAGAGTGTAGCAAAACACCAGATTACGAAAGAAATTTGCCAAAAAAAATCTCTCAAATATCACAACACACTGTATTATTCTATGTCATTTTGTTCATAGCCTTCCTCTGATATTCTATTCTGCTCTGGTATAACTGCACATGATCACAATACAACTTAGTCTTATAGTATAGTTTTCTTCAGTGTTCTCTGTTTTTTTTTTCTTCCCCATTGCACTCACATACATCCACAAACATGAAAAATAAAGAATATGCTTAAATCTGAAATCTCTATTTAGAAATCAAAGGTCAAAGAAAAAGGGAGTGTGAGGGTTGGTTAGTTAGTTAGTTATTGGAGAGGGTGGGTTTCCCCATGCACTGAGACCTGTATTGGTCCATTGTGCTTCCCTCTATGATTTCTACCAGTCTCTATATCCTACCGGTACTGGTGCTTACCATCAGTCCCTCTCAGCCAACGAGACCGGCTCTACTAACTGAGAGGTATCTATAATGCTTCCCCCATCTACCAGAGGTATTAGAGACTGCTGTTGGGCGGGAAACGTCCGTTAATTTGGCTCAGTGACCTCCTTTGGAGATATGAGGTTCTTTTACGTGCCGTAAAGCTACGACACGGGACCCAAGGCTTAAAGTCCCTCCCAGAGGACTTGTTCCCTGAATTTTTCCGCCCTTAAAAATTCGACAACCTCCGCCGGGTATGAGTGTGAGGGTTAGTTTCATGAAGACTCTCACAATCTTATCATTACCAACCAATTCTTTCAGATAAGAGTTCATGTTACACTGAACAAGAGATTCATAAAATAAACTATACAGAGATTTTTGTACATCTCAGGTAAGTCCTGTCACACTGAGCAAGAGAAAATTTGGTTTTGATAGCTCCTCTTACTATTGTAACTGCCCTTACATTGTTCTTCATTTAAAACAATCATCTGCATAGGCCCTGACAGGGGTGCAGGGGGTGGGATGCAAGGCAAGAATTTGCCCCATCCTCTACAGTTCTGGATTAAAAAAAATATATATTCAAAGAAGAGAAGGAAATATACCATATATTAGTGCTAAAAGTTAAAATTATTTTTAAACGTGGCATCATCAATGTTTGAACACCGTGACCCACAACCCTAGGGTGGTCCATATAAATATTCTTGAACACCTTAAACACAAGTTTGTTCAGAACATTTTCTGGCTGCCATCCCTTGGAAAAAAACCTTCTGGTGCTCATGATCATTGGTTAAACTACTACAAACTTTCTGAAAGGTGGGATAAACATTTTAACTTCAATGTTTATTATGACTAGTGAACAGAAAAACTGGTTTTTATGTTTCTAAAATTGTCAACATTCCAGTAATATAACCTAGAAGAAAATTAAATCTTTATATGACTTCATACATAGCAAGGTTTTATTTCACAGTCCATGCCAATCTGCTGAAGTGGTAATGCTTCTAACATGTATTCTGTAAGAGCCTGTTTAAAATCTACTACACATACTATCCTAACTGAGGGGTTTCATGGTTTTCTTCAGTCTGTCCAGGAAATTTTCAGAATAACACCTCCAAATTGGTCATGATTACCTCCTCTCCAGTCCACCAAATGCAGCTGTCCTCTCATGTCATTAAACACTTTAATAATTTTCATAGTTAATATACTGTCATTAACAATGTTTCTGAATTGGTGGGATGTCCCCCACTGTTTGGACTTAATGGTTGGCTGGGTAGGACACAAGATCTTAAAAATAATTATTGAGTCACACAACACTTTCCTGCATTCTAACCAAAAGAAATCTATTATTTCTGCACTATAATAATATTTCTATATTGTCTTATATACAGTCCTTCTGAACTTCCATTAAGGATTAGTGTAGTATTAAAATGTACATAATTATTAAATGCACTTTCTACGAAGAAATAAACTTTGTTTTTATTATGGTGGTACTATGATATTTTGACAAAATGATCTGTGGGATACAATGTGCAAAAACCCACTGCTACAGGGGTCTGATAATGGTAATTACATTTGTATTTTATTGTATAGTAGTGTGTTGACATGGGAGGACAACCTCCAGTCATCCATTAAGCACTCAGACCTCTACTGAGCCCCTCGTGAACCCTCAGTTTTGCTCAGGCTCTTTCAGAGTCTCAACCTTACCTAGAGCCAAAACCTTCCAGATGCATGTTGCACTTAGTATTACTAGTTTCCTGAAAAACATTATAAATGTTCAGGAGTTGGATCTGCTTACCTGGATCTCACTGGTTCAGTGACTGGTACTAGCTCTTTTAAATGGACCCAATTGAATAGGTAGAACTCACCTGAGAATGCTAGCAGATCGAACTCCTGAAACACTGTGTTCTTGCTTTTAGAATATCACATGATGGACACAGCAATACTATGGAGAAAAAGGTTGAGAAGCAGTACCTTCAGTACCTTCCATAAGCCTACCCTGTAGAGACTCCTGGCTTTCTAAGTTTTGTTTCTCAGTCATGCCAAAAAATCCATCTAAGTTCAAAGCCCTTTGCAGTATTCTTAACATACTAATGATTAACTGCAAGAAGTTATTAGTCCTATACCCAACACCCAATCTGGAGTCCCAATCCTTGTCTTTGGTCCACAACTCCTTATTCAATACTTCCCAACTACCAGCCAAATTTTACTCAGGTAAATTATCATACATCATGTCCTCTGTATGATGAAGAGGCACTCCATAGTCATTCTGACAACATTGCCCACTTGAACTATATACAACCTTAACACGATTCACTGACTACAATAATTTAATTTATTGAGGTGTGCGTTTCATGTTTGTGATGATTTACTGGATTAAAGAATAAAAGTGTCTTGGCTCTATTCAATTAATAATTACAAATTAAATTTCCAGAATATCATGAAGAGACAATGATAGCAACATCTGTGCCATTTACTTACCAAGCAGGTTTGAACGGGGGATCCAAAACTTCATACGACTACATATGCCTGTCCACTCAGCGTCAGGTATGAACTAGGGCTACAAAATTACTCTACAATCTTGGCTGCTAGAAAGAAACAATCAGAGTAAGACTTAAAAGTGGTCTGTTCATAACAATTCATTTCATGTTACTGAATAACAATATACACAAAAATATACATATATATACTGAGTTCATAATTAAGTCACAGTAAAATAATTTACAGTTGACTGAAGAACTGCTGGCAGAATTTTTGTCCCAGAACCTTGCATCCTGTAAAATATATTCACAAAAACTTTCCTTTCACCTGATTCATATATTCCTATTATATTAATGTCTGTGCTCCATGTAACTGTGTTGTCTGTATGTTTGTATAACATGAAGATGATACTGCTTTCCTCCTTTCACAACTACTCATATCTTTATAATGGAAGGACAATTCAAGTGGGGTAAATTTTCTGAATGAATGTTCTAGAATATAAAAGAAAATATCTTATAAGTTACCAGAATTCCCCTTGCCAAGGTGATTCTAAACTTTCAGGAGTCTTCCACTAATTTCTTTTCAATTTTCAACTTCCTATGAATATCCATTCATAAATTTCACAATAAACTTCAAAGGATTAAAGGAAACACAACATCAGACATTTCACTTAATCCTTATACTCTTTTAATCTAATTAATAGTATGTTAGACACATAAAATGTAAAGCAATACCATAAAACAACATCTTAGAATTATTATAGCCGCTTACTTTATGTGTGTAATTCTGTAATACTACATATGCAGTTATTTTGCCAGGAAGTCTGATAAACTTAACACAACCAAAATAATACTTAGAAACTCATGTTATTGTTTTGAATTAGAAATACATGGTATGGGCAAAGTTTGTGCAAAACATTAGAATCTTAATAGTTTGCATCCTGTTGTGTCTCTCACATAAAACATTAGAAGTTTCTTCTAAAACAACACAGAGCTGCAACCCAAAAGCCTTAACAATTAATTCACTAAATACATGAAACTGAATTATGTAAATATAAATACAAACCACTCCGTCCAATGTGACATATAAGTTTTGACTACATTAAAACTTATCTCCCTTATATGTTTCGGTCCTTACGGGCCATCTTCAGAAGAAACATCATTACAAACTGGAAACTACCATCACAATAGGTGTTTTGATTTAAAATACATACAATTATATCCTATAAGGCACAGTACGCTTAAAGTCGAACGTTTCACAATCACAGCAGCTTCCTGGTGTTGTAAAGTTTTTAAAAGTTTCTAGATGTTATTTAAAAAAACCTTTGTTGTCAATAGTTAAAAAAAAAATTTTAAACCACGTAGGTTTGTGTCTGTATTCCTATCATCGTCCTTGTATGGGGCAGATTTTGTGCCGCCTGTCTATCTTGATGAGGAGGTTCTTGATGTCGCCCAGGGTTTGTTCGTGAAAACAACACAGCAAGCCATGAACAAACCCTGGACGACATCAAGAACCTCCTCATCAAGATAGACAGGTGGCACAAAATCTGCCCCACACAAGGACATTAGGAGTACAGACACGAACCTACGTGGTTTAAAAAAAAAATTAACTATTGACAATAAAGGTTTTTTTTAAATAACATCTAGAAACTTTTAAAAACTTTACAACACCAGGAAGCTGCTGTGACTGTGAAATGTTCAACTTTAAGCATACTGTGCATTATAGGATATAAGTGTATGTATTTTAAATCAAAACACCTATTGTGATGGTAGTTTCCAGTTTGTAATGATGTTCCCTCTGAAGATGGCCCATAAGGACCGAAACATGTAAGGGAGGTAAGTTTTAACGTAGTAAAAACTTATATGTCACATTGGACGGAGTGGTTTGTATTTATAACTGTGAGTGTGACAGACCACAATGAAACAAATCAAATTATGTAAAGTTTACAAATAACTGTATCTGTTGCAGCCCAGCTATGCAACCAAGGACTTAGCTAATGGCAGCTTGTCACATGACATCCACACCGAAGACTGTCTCTACAGTGAAGGAAGAAGATATGATTTTGTAGATGTAGCATCAACTTCATTCATCTGTACAACTCCATACACATACCAGGGTTACTAAAAGTGTACAATGACAACAGACTGTCATAACAATTTTTCAGCAAGTCTACCATCCACATAAAATTAACTTCCACATTGAATGCAACTGGTTTCAGTGAAAGGATATATGCAGTACTTCTTCCAGAAGAGAACTGAGGAGGCCTGTGCAAGACATCAGTGCAGCACATACACATCTGTCATAATGAGGCACATGTCTGCATCAGAGTTTCAAATTTCAGTATGTCTATAGTTGATTGAGAAACAGTGCTACAAGCCGGAAGGTCGCAGGATCAAATCCCAATGAGGTGGATTTTTTCAATTTACCTAATCCTTCCAGCTGCACTATGGCGCTGGGGTCAACTCAGCCTCTAACAGAAATCAGTACCAGGAACATTCCTGGGGATAAAGGGCAGCCGGCGCATAAGGCTGACAACCTCACCATCATCTGCGAGCTGATTTTCTAGAAAATGTGGGAGCCTCAACACCTCACAACCCTATGGGCCTCCATGGCCTCTTAAAGGGATACCTTTACTTTTACGATGTGACCTATTATCAAAAAAGTCTTACAAAAATATATCAAACATCATTCACAGATATTATTTTTTAAAGCAGAACCAAAAATAAGCCATTAAAGAGCATAACATTTATTAAAGCAAGTAATGCATCGATATTCTACATCAAATAGGTGGTGTACAGAAGCTTCATATCTGGAATGTGTTTGAGAAGCCATCTGATGTAAAACTGACATTCTCAAAAAATTCTGTTACCATTACATATTCCCTATACAAAAGAAAGTCCCATGCAATATTCTTTTTCAGTATATGGAGGAATTTTATGTGACTTACACACGCACCAACAGTGCAAATAAAAAAAGTGACATCATGCATACTTTCTCATATATGATTGACCCTGACTGCATCACCTTAGAAACGAAAGCAACTGTCACCCAGTAGGCCATTGCATTTTGCTGAATACTGAACAACAATGAAAGTCATCTCACCAATAAAGCCAGTTTTGAGTAAATCAACACATTATGTTTGGACCCCTAGTCTGCATACCATTATTTTTCTGAAGATACCACCTATGGAGGCTATGAATTCCATAAACTATTGAAATTTAATAAAATCAATCAAGCCATTTTCAAGAAAATCACCATTGTGTATTTTGGTGCTTATCTGAAAGGCCACTCTGTTTGGACCTGGAATGCTCAGTTTTACTGGGCACAAATCTAGGATGGATAAACCTTTGAATACCAAACATTAATAACATCTGTTCACCTGTTCAGATTTCCAGTATATTGAGAACAATTTTGCCATGACCACTATACTTTACTGTGTGCATGAGAGTGTACAAATATGAAACTTCCTGTACTTACGAGATAGTGGTAGTAGAAACATTCTCATCATTTTAAACAAGCATGAATTTATTTGAATTCATAATCAATTTACTTTAATACTGTAAACCACAAACTCACCAATGCTTGTTTTCAACAGACCACATGACATCATATGCCAGAAGAGAGAACCATGTTGTATTACATCAAATCAATGTGATATACAGAGTTGGGGAAAAAGTTGCATAGAAGCCTTATTCTTGCATGATACTGAAATGATCAGAAAAAAAAACACCAATAGAACAGTAGTTGCTATGACAAGCAGACATACATGCCACCTAACACAAAGTCACTACTATGCCGATAATGTATCAGGACTGGATGTGAGAAGAGTGCATTCATTACTATGCAGATGATGTGTCTGACACTTATCAATAGAGTGGATTAATTATAGTATTTTGATGAACAGAATGGCACTGGATATCAATGTAGTGACTTCATTACTATGCAGATTATCTACAAGTACCGGATGTCAGTACAGTGCATCCATTACTATGTATTTTAGCTGTGTGGCATTGAATATTGGGAGAGTAAATTCATTACTGCCTGTAAGTACAGCGAACTAATTACTATGCCCATGAACAGACTGACACTCTATGTCAGTAGGGGGAGTTCACCACTATACAGACATGCTAACTTGCCTTGGGTGTCAGCATAGTCCTGCAGGACAAGCTGTTCTTCAGCACACAATGATGGGTGAACTCCTATAATTAGTACATGGAAGGACAATACTAAAGGTATGTAAAGAAAAGGGAAGAAATCATAAGATTAAAATAGGCTGTGCATATTAACACATTGCGAACCGGTTGTTTAAATATTTAAATCACCCTGGGGACCGGGGTTCTCAAGCCTAGCACCCTAACTTGCGCACTGTTCACTTTAAAAATTAATATAAAATCTCCTAATTAATTTTATGAACTAAAATTTTTGGAGAACACTTATCAGAGCTCCTAGAAGTGCTTGCATGTGTGATATCTCTGGAAACTTTCATCAGAGCTCTCACTTTCACTGGACACAATATTTTGTGGGGCCCTGTGGCCCCTGTCACTGTCACTTTCACTGAGGCTGGCCTCGCTATCGGAAGACAAAGCAGTTGGCAAATCTGACAGCTCATCGGAGAACAAATCTAATATTTCTTGTTCTCCGAGAGAACGCTTCGCCTGCAACTGCTTTCATCTCTGATCAATGTTGCACTGCTAACTTCCTGGTTCATATGTGGAAGCTTGGACTCGAACAAAGGCTTTTTTCTTTAGGGTGTGACAGGAAATGAGCGTGACCATGTTACTGGCTAAGCTAGCAAACATTCCCAAGGTCAACTACACAGTAGTTATGATGCAATGTGGCCACACAGCGAGATATAGTCGGTTGTAACATAACACGTCAGAAAAGGGCCAATTGGCCCGCCTGGTCCGCAATGCTATAGAAACGTAGAGGGCCAATTGGTCCCTCCAGTCCTGAATGTGTTAAAATGCTGTTATATGTGGAAATAACTTTTAATCAGCATGAGCGTAAACTTCAGCTGTGGGTGTTGGGTGAATCCCGGTTTTCAGATTTCAACTAGATCAATATTTTCAGGAATAGAAACGTACAAAACACTGAAAAATATTAATGTAACTAAAGTACAAAAGTTGAAATCAGAAGCAGATCTAGGAAGGAAAAACGTAGCAGCTGTCCTTGACGAAGCCTGGTTAAGAGAGGGCCAAATTGTTAAATATAGTGAAAGGTATACTTTGTTTATATAAAGAAGAAAGCAGTCTTCTGGGATTTGGCGCCGTGTAACATTTGTTTATATAGTCCAGTGGAAACCTGACTATTCCTCTGCCAAGATTCATTACAATAAACATTTTCCTGCTCAGTAAATCCAACAGTTTTTGGATGTTGAATTCATTGCATAATTTTCAACACTGAACTTACTGCAACTAAATTTTTAGGTAATCAATTAAATAATCAAAGTATTCAATGCCATGCCCCTGCAGTGGGATTTTACCTGCAAAACCATTCATTTTTTCCATGAAAACTGGGCTTTTTAATTATACCACTCTGGAATGGTAGAGAACACATAAAAAGCAATCAACAACTGCTATATATTCCAATTCTTTCAAGTTACCTTTAAATTTACTCTGAATTTGATTGACATCTGTAACACATAATGACTTTTATGTACACAGCAGCAACAGCCTGTCAGTTGGCAGGGTTGGTATTGGCTTGCAGTAAACTTCAGCCTTTCAGGTGATGGGAATGGCAGTGAATGTGTTAATATAGCAGAAACACAAAGTTGCATATTTTCAGAAACTGAGGTGCAACAAGAAGCATTTATCAGCTAAAAGTAATTAAGAAACGTGTTTTAAAGCTACTGTTTACTAGAATGTGTTTTTCCTTGTATTATGTCTGCTAATGAAGTACAATCAACATTATCAATGGAGCAACATTAAATGGGTTGCTGTTGTTTATTCAATATGAAGCGGGCAGTAGATTTTGAGGTACTAAAGACTGTAGCAGTTATAAGACAACAACTGTGTAAGATAAGATTTAAAAACATACAAATATGTTTATGTGAACATAACTTTGCATTTATATTATTACTGGCTTCTGCTACAAGTAAGCTTATAATTCCTGGAATATTTTATTATATATTTTAATGTGAATGATCTTATTTATTACCGTAATAAATGGAAAACATCACCAGGAATGATTGTATGATAACCTGTACCACCAACCCTTCTCTCTGTAAACCAAAATACTCATTTATATGTACTATGTGCACGTGTATAAATGTGGAAGTTATATCTGTCTGTTTATGTGTTTAAGTCAAGGACTACTAGATGGATTTCAATTAAATCTGGCACTGATAGTCCTCATTTTGAAGTACCAGATGAATTTAATTTTGATAAGTGTTGATCATTCACTCCACACTTTACACGCAGCGCAAATCAAACTTCATGTTGCTGAAAATCAGTTCATCTTACAAAGAATTAATACATGATATCAAACACAAATTCCACGTGCATTTAATAACATAAATGGAAAAGTAACTTCTGACTATGTGCATATCACCAGTAGTGTGATTACACCTACATCGTATTTGTTCTCCAACAAATGACCATTACAGCCAATTAAGAATGCAAAATTCCATACGGTGCAGTTGGAAAAGACATGTAACATACAACTATGAAGCACATTCTACATTTCATCCCCATCCATACCACCACATTCTTCTTCTGCCTGTCAATATTGCTGCTTTCACTCTCGTCATCAATGACGACAACACATTATTGCTACAACTATTACCACTGTTCTTATAAATACTGTCACAAGTATGAGTGACTATAGAAGGGGTTTGCATTGATAGCTGGATTTATTGAACACTCAGATCATAACTACAAGTAAATATAGCACTATCACTAATTCACACACTCTATACAATTCACTACAGCACGCATTAAGTCTTCTCAGCCTGCTTATCTTCACAGGCTGTCACCCAGTAACAATTTCCACCGTTGTAGCTTCCAGAGCTTCCCTGTTCATGTCCTTACTGGCCAGCAACTGTCTCACAAATAACTCTCATTGCTCCTACTGACTAATACCCAGGCTGGTGGCCAACTCACACCAACCTCCTGCTATCTTCACTGCCATCTTAAGATTCTCTTGTAACTGCTCCCACTCCTCATTATATAGCCTTAGCATGGACAGCACAGAAAACACCTCCACCAACAGTTCCTCTGTTATTGCATTCACATCTGTTGACACTATTTGCTAGCAACAGCTGTTGTTTACAGAGTCATTACCTAGCAATGGCTGTTGTATAGTTTTTTACTACATGGTCTACATGCAACAGTATCTTTTACACTGAGAATTCTGACCTACTAATCATACTGAGTAAAGAAAACCACTACACTCACCCTTATACTTCAGCTCAGTGCATGACTAAGAATATGTAGTAGGTTTTACATTGCAAACAAGGAAAAGTTAAAAGTGGGGTGATATAGCAGCCCTTGCTACTATGGCCTCAATTGGGCCTACTGCACCAGCCTCAAATGATACATGGGCAACTGGCTGGGGTAAAACTGGGTGCTGACACAGAAACCTGCAAAAGGGCCACTTCGGCCCCCCATATGAACTAGACTGCGAGCGAACCAGACCTCTGTGACAAGAAGCTGGTGACTTAAGTGCCAGAGTTATGTCAGAGCCAATGTAAATGATGTAATTAGTGAATAATAAATTTCAGCCAATACATATTTTTGCTTCTCAGCCTTACATTATTCAGATAGATGGACAGTTCAGCAGTTACTTCAGGAGAAACAAGGAAACAGTATTCCCTGAAAGCAGTCCAAACTAGGTTCCAAATATTACTGTATTAAACTGTTAAGACCAGCACTCTGAGACTCATGAAAAGAAATTCTTTTATTGCCATAAAAGAAAATCATATACTTTAAAGAGTCAAGACATCCCTATGACATACCATTTCAAATCTGGTCCAAATCAGTATAAAAATTGTATGCTATATGTACATACCACTAGTTGCCAATGTTCCAAAATGCCCAATGCTGGCATGCCTGGAAAACCTGCATGAAGCAAAACAGTGTCATACCAGAATATCATCACTGGTTCATCTGGAAGAAGCATACTACTATATATCAAACCTATTTTCTGGAGTACCTGCCATTTCATAAACTCACCATCTTTGTTGTCACGACTGAGAAATGTGTGGTGTGATCACCATATCTTTGAATCATTCTATTTAGGTGAAGGAAAAGAAAATGCTTCATAAACACATTACTGAAGAGGCTAGTATGTCTTAACTATTAAAATGATTTCACTTGTTCTTCTGCTCTGAACTCAAAGCTAAGAAAGATATAATTTTTGTCTTAAGAACATCATAAAAATCTTATATAATGTCTTTATTTTACTCAATTACACTTATGCTTCTCAACAAATTGAGAAAATTTGTCAAAGAAACATAGTATGAGGACAAATTCCATGACTTTAAGGCAAAGAAAGACCTTTTCTTTCATTCCACATAACTAAATCATAATGACTACTGGTTGTCTTAGATACTGGCATATTTGATATACACATATTAAAATTCCTTCCAACTATAACAAGCAATATACACAAGATGTGCAAGTGATTATGCTTCGATGTTATATCAACAGTTCTGTGTAGTTCTTTCATGTCAGTGGACACTGGACACTGAAAAGAAAAAGGAAAAACGGACCTTAGTGTGACAGTATATGGTGATTTGAAATACTACATTACTTTGTCTTGAATGAAAGTATGAACTAACCAGACTCAGCGTGCAAGCTGAGTTATGAGAGCTGCACACATCTCAAAGAATTCCATTGTATGATGGCCAGTGTTTTGTTGCTGGCAAACACTGGGATCTGAAACAGCAAACATAGGCACATGGGCGAGCAGAACCCAACCTAATAAAGGTCTGTTTCCGTTTACTTTAAAAATGTAAACTGTGAAGTGGTTTCACCACAATACTCCATATGAAATTTGAACACAAAATCCCTCATCATACCGATTTACTACAAATAATTCATAATTTCACTTTTTGTTCTTCATTAAACAATGATGATGCACCCTTACTTAACCATCCTTGCTTAACATCTGTATACAGCACAAGGCTTCAAGGCCTTTTAGGAATAAGCAATGATGCAGAAATATAATTGACAGACTTAAAAAACATATTTTTGGTAAAATAAAGAAGTTTACTATACATATATATAATTTCTCCTCCTCCTAGTCAAAGGAGAGGCATAGGGAAGGAGTACCTTTATGGAATGCCACCTATAAATAGCTTAGAAGGCAGTCTGTGCAGCTAGACTGAAATCTCTCATTATGAAGGTGCTAGAAAAAGTCTTCATTGTGTGAGCACACAAGAGCCTTTTGTTTGTTTGTAACTGTCAGTGAAAGCTCTAAATTACACAATTTCATGTTACCCATCTCATCTTCTTTGACTTTCTCACTCTAATTATATTGGGTGAGGAATAGAAGCTATGAAAAAATAAGTAAAAGACTGGTGCGAAAATATATGTTCATAATATTGTCACAGTAAACAAGCAACTTCATTACTTCAACATAGTTCATGTGTACTCTTAAAATTGTTTTTCTCAGTGAGAATTGATAGCACCACCATCATAAATAAGCAAACTGACTATCACAGTACAGTTCATTATCAGAAAAACCATAGAACAAGCATTTTTTCTAGTTCCATGCAAAAGTAAGGAAAGTGGGCCAAACAAACTGCTACTCCAGTCACAAATTTCTGAACTACAGGAGTGGTGGCTTCATTTCCTTTGTTTGGACATGCATCAATGAATTTACGCTGCACCAAACATGGGCTAAGTTTATAATCACGGCCATAAACGGTTTTCCATGCTTCCATTGCCTTTGGGAATGTGTGATCAAACAGCAATCCTTAGACGAAATAAATTTGTCAGTGCAATATGAGTACAGTTCTAACATTTCTTTTCATGTGAATTCTGAAGTGTTCTGACAATGGTGTATCACACTCGGGAATACTGAGTTCTTGGATTCTGTCCATCATACAGTATCCTAAAGAACACAGCAGTTTGGAAAATGGATTTGATTCATCCTCAGATGAAATGGTGCAAGACACCTGCACTGTTGTGTCCATCGGAAAGAGATGATTTGAGGTTAGCTGTTTCTAATGGACCCCATAGAGGAAGCACCTCCCACCCTTTTGCCTGAGGATAAAACATATCCAGTTCCTAAAACATTGGGTTCTTTAGAATAATGGATGAAGGACAAAATCCAAAAACCCAGTAAGCCTGAGAATTACTTCTCACACTAACCACAGTCGATATCTGCACCTGTTACTGAAGGTCCATCATTCTCTTCATTGTTCTCACTGCTGAAGCTCTTGAAGTCCAACAAGTAGCTCTTGTAGTCCACCTGATACAGCTGGAGGGACATTTTGACATATTTTCCACTCAATGCATTTTTGTGTCTTACACGCACATGGAAAGGATTAATCACTTTCCACTCCTGAAACAATATTCAAACTGTTACTGGTTTTATGTAAAAATCTGTACATGGCAATGTCATTAAGCACCTAATTACATAGTATGCAATCTTCTATGGGTTGCTGATAGATATTTAACCAGTCAAGAAATTCCCTTCTTTTACTGAACTTGAAAGTTCATCACCATATTCACGAAAAACACACCACTGAAACACATCATGGGCCAGCACAGTCTACTTCACATTTACGTACTATTTCTCTGAGACATAATATGATATTTTCCTGTCATCTACTTCAAGGTCTTCCAAGTATTCCTTTTCCTTGATAGTTCCTATATGTTACATTCATTTCTTGTATCATACAAGACATGAGCTATCTCAACCTTCTCAATTTAACTGCCACGTGGGCACACTGGTAAGAAGAATGTGCTAAAATTAATCATTGGTGGGAGAGATGTAATTTAAATTGTTTGATATTACAGACCTTTCCAGTAATCTTTCAGCAAGTGTTTGACTTTCAAACTATGCCATTATTTATTAACCTTTATCGGGTGAATGTCACATATATACGACGCAAGCAGCAACCCGAGTTGACCAAATGACACATATATATGACACAAGACATCTGCACTCTTTGGGAGTGCTGACAGTTTGACCTTGGGTTTGAAACCAAAACAAGCCTGCATGAGGTCATGTCAGTGGTTCATTCCTTAGCTCAGTATAAAGAAATCGTTTATCACGGTACTGGTTTTGATACTATTTATGTTTAGATATGACTGTTTATGACCTGGTCAGTCAAATACAGCCCAGATTTGTTTCGAGAAGTGATGAGGAAATATTCATCAGTGCTTGCATGTGAGTGCTTCCAGAGCCTTCAAGGAAGTGTGATGCATTCAAGGATTGGTTTTCAGTGACAAATTATGAGTTAGAAAGTCAGTGTCAGACTGTCATATATTTCTTTATATATCATTTTTATGTTGCATCTTGGAAGAGGTATAAACCCACTGAGCCAATATTACTTTGTGAGTAAAAGGTATCTTCGCCACTGCAATTTTCAGTATCAGTGTCAGATTGGCACTCTTTTCGACTAGTATTATAATTACTTTGCATCACTATTTTGCGAGTATTACCAACAGGTGAGAGTGTTGCTTTGTCAATCAACATAATTTATTCAATTCTGCTAGAAACCCCCCTCCCCCAAGATGATTCTTCAATCACACAAACAGAATATCATGGACAGTGGCGTTTCTCGAGGGAAGGCCAAAGTTACCAGGGGGCCCAACTGAGTTGACTGGAGGTGAAACATTCACAACACTGGCCAACCAAAGGGAAACAAAGACGTCATGTGTTTCGCTAAATAAGAAAAGCAGCAGCACGCTCTTCTATTGTAAAATGGGTGGTGTCACTCTGTGTGAGGTGGACTGCTTCGAGAAGTGCCACGCGCATCAGAGTGTATCATAAACTGTGAAGTGACGCAGTTCAAACTCGGGTACAGTCTGAACAAAATATTATTGTATATAGTGTGACTATATTTACAATATCACCATGATTCAAGGTTGAAGAAAAAACAACGGGTAAGTCATATAATAAAGATTATATTTTGCATTTCATGACAAAATAATCACAGTTAATTTTAGTTTGTAAAAATTGCTCTTTTGAGTATACAGAAAAATTTATTGTCTTTCAGACTGCTTTTAGTTCGTATTTCTGTGTCGCACAGAATGGAAAATATGCGTTTTTTTTTCTGAAAGTTTGCAATGTTAATTAATTAGGGCAATTTAAATACTGGCCACAGAGGGCTCCCAGCAATTTAAAAGTCCGTACATTAAAGGTTACAGCAAGCGACAGTTTTTAAAACATCACAAGACCATGACTGATGGTGTATTCCATCCACCACACCCTTGGCTGAGTAAGTAAAATTTACTTTCTTCTCATTCTTCTATTGGTTGTTTGAAATGTGAATGAAGATCAGAACTTCATTTTTCAAGGAAAAATTCACCACAGGTTAGAACATTATGCATATGCTCCAGTGTTGTGATGATGAGAGGGAGAGAGACACTGAAAATAACACAAAGTCTGAGGAAGAAAAGATCACCACCCATCTTTGAATGCAAATCTGAGCATAATGTGGAATGACTTGAAATCAGGATATCATCAAAATGATGCCTGGGTAAACACCAGATGCAAGAATTACAGAAGACAGAAACGCATTTCATATGATGTCTGATATAAATGAAGTGGAGGAGACCATGAAGTATGCAAATATGCATGTTTATGGCAAACAGCTGAAGGCTCCACATCACAGGGAGAAAGAGGTGAAAGAAGCTACAAGAAATGAGACAACAGCATTTTTGGGGATGTTTTCTTTTTTCTTCATGGATAAAGAAAGGAACTCACAAGGATGTCGTTAAACTTTGAAATAACAGAACATGGAGTGAAATTCTGAGTGTGTATGAGCTATATGACTGGAACAGCCACAGCAACGGAGTAAGTGCATATCATCCCTTGCCAAAGAGCATACATTCATACCTGCCAACTTACAGGCACCCAAATAAACTGTAATGGCTGTGAACAGAAAGAACTGCTAGGCAGTAGTGACAAGCATCTATGCTTAAGCAAGCAATGCAACCTCAACCTTTGATGAAAGCAAGTTTCCACTGTTGACAGCACGTATATTCGACAAAACCATAATTTAATGTGGTTCACTGGAGGGATTATCCATAGAAACAGTAGCTAGAGACAGAATTTTTTATTTCAAAGATTCCACCCATTTTTACATCTGAAATCATTCAGAATAATGTGCAGCTGTGTACTAACACAAGGAAATATAATGTGCTATCAGAAAGTTCTCGGACTGTTATTGTTGTAACTGCCTCGTTGATAGAACATGAGTGGGAAGGCTAAGGTCACACTTCCACAAGCCTACATCAGTCTGCCACATGACACCACGCTATGAACACATTGTTTTTATATGAGTGTTTTCTTGACTTTGTGTTTCATTCTGTCCCCGATGGATGGCAAAAATTCGAGTAACATGTCTGCATCAAGTTTTGCGTGAAGCTCGGTAAATCCGCTACTGAAACCCTTGAAATGGTCTCTAAGGCTTTTATAGAACATTCTTTAAGCCAGACAGCAGTTTCTGAATGGCATTCACATTTCAAGGACTGCCAAGTGTCAGTTGAATATGACAAAATTTCAGGGTGACCAAGCACCATAAAAATAGAAAATGTTGAAAAAATTTGAGAACTCATCCATGAAGACCATCACTGAACAATCCATGAGCTCGGAGACACCACTGGAATCAGTTACTGAGTTTTCCAGGAGACCTTAACAGAAAATTTAACATGCCACAAAGTTTGTTCCCAAACTTTTATGAGTATCTTTAGGATCATAACAGGTGACTAAAGCTGGATTTACAGTTATGACCCAGAAACAATGCAACAATCATTGAAGTGGAAGAGCCCACAATCACCAAGAGCAAGAAAGGCATGGCAGGTCCGGAGTTTATCAAAAGAGCACGCTCATTGTTTTTTTTTTTGACATGAAGGGGATTGTTCACCATGAATTTGTTCCCCCTAACACTACAGTCAATTCTTGACTTTTAATGTGACATTCTGAGATGCATGAGAGAAAATGTGCAATGAAAAAGATGGGAACTTTGGCGCAACCACAACTGGCTCCTTCATCACAATGCACCCACCCACACATCCCTAAAAACAACAGATTTTGTGACTGACAACAACATGGTTATCATTCCCCATCCTCCCTACCCGCCAGACTTAGCAGCCTGTGATTTCCCTTTTTTGCCCAAATTGAAAATGAAACTGAAGGATGGATATTTTGAAACAGTGTCTGACATCCAAAGGGAACTGCAAGCAGTACTTGAGATAATTAAGGAAGATGTCTTCCAAGGTGCTTTTGAAGCATGGAAAAACGATGGTATCACTATATACATTCCCAAGGAGACTATTTTGAAGGAGTTAAGCCAGCATTTCTTTCTTGACCTAGTCCAGGAACTTTCCAATAAACCTCATATTACATGATGTACAGGGGAAAAGTGACAAAAATGTCTCTCTATTGCTTACTGGTGAACCAGACAGTGGTTATTAAGATGCTCTGTTGCCAGTTAAGAAAAAGACTAAGTTGTTTCAATATATATTTGCCAAGAACATTTCCTCTAGAGAGCAGCACCGCTCACTGCATACTATCTTAGTACAATACTGTCACGTGTTACACCAGTGTAACGTGTCTTGAGTTCGAATCCTGTAGGTCACGTGTGTAAGTCCAATCCTACTTCTGACACCAAATTGTCACGTGTTACACCAGTGTAACGTGTTTAGTTCGAATCCAGTCGGTCACCTGTGTAAGTCCAATCCCACTTCTGACACCAGTGTACCGTGTTTAGTTACTGAAGACGCTGTTCAGATTGTTAATTGGTTTATTTAACAACCTACAAGTATCGGCTACAATTATTTATAACACTGTTGTGGGGTTTCACACTTTATAACCCCACTCACAATAATCTCTTCACTCTAGCTTCAGTAGGCTACACGTATTAATTACGACACGGGAGCTATGTGAGCGTCCCTGTATCACACACTCACTGTCTTCGGCGGCTGCTATATTTCACAGCACCACTCCTTAACACACACTAACTCATTCACTGCTGACTGGAGAACTCACTTCGGCGGCTGATACACTTTAACTAACTTCGGTGGCTGTGTAATTCCCTTATATAGTTGCAGCACCCGCCTGTTACGCAATGGGTACCGCTGTTGCCTGTTACCCATGTCACAGCTGTGCTGCGTGTTACATCACCGCGGGGAGTAACGACAGTGCTACGATGCCACCACGTACTGCTGGGGGGGAGGGGTCCTCCGTTGCGCAACATGTCACAATATAAACACGGCTGTTATCACAGAGCTTTCAAGTTACTGTGAGCAGACATTTTTTATGCTGATCCTGCTCTTGGGTCTTTGCACTGTGTGGTTGTCGCAATGTTTCCAATGTTCTGGAAGTACATACTGCTTCCATCTTCAGGGTGAAAGTGAGTGGGATGAGTCAGTGATGTGTGTATATACTCACTTTGGCCCTGAAGATTGAGGCAGTATGTATCTCTGAAATGTCAGCAACATTGCCCACATGGTGCAAAGTCCCGACAGCAGAATCAACATCAGCAATGAACTACCACATAAGTCTAAAATCAGTAATTTGACATTTTTGATATCTGTTTTTAATAATTTCCCACAATAATTTTCATGCAATTTATGCTAGTGAAGTTCATAAAAACAAAATGCAGCACTCAGCTGCGTGTCTGCATGAATGTCAGTAAAACTACACACAAGAGAAAATAAAAATGGAAAAGTCAAGAAACTTCAGCACTGACTCCCTGAGACTGGATACTGAATGAGTCACTATACAAAATTGCAAATTTAGCTATTTATGCAAGTGCACACATAGGGCAGGCCTCATCCCCCCACAAAAGGTTTAATTTCTATATCATTAAACTGTGATATAATTTATAAATATGATACAGTTACTACCAAATTATGCTTCAAAACCAAAATACTTACAAAATCCAGTGCTTTCATTGCACGATAAACTTCATTCATTATATCATTCGGCTTACTCTGCGATCGAATGCCTGTAACAAAAAGGGTGTTTATATGAAGACAGTTAGTTATTTATATATAAACTTTACAATAAACAAAATGTACCACAAATAGATGTGATTAATATCTAATGTTTCTGCAAACTAATTCTGACAATGCTGGTCATGGTAGCCGAGCGGTCTAAGGCATGTACTGTTTTCGCTCGCTTGGAAACCGGGATCGTGGGTTCGAATTCCACTCGGGGCACGGATGTTTAGTTTGTGTGTGCGTGCATTTTTCAGTGTTTGTGTACAGGTAGAGGCCTTGCGACGAGCTGATCACCCACCCAAGGAGTCCTACAAAATGTGTAAGATTTAGAAAAACAGAAGTGAACGAAGAAGTTCATGGAGGTAGGCCTAGGCCCACTGGGGCTGTAATGTCAAGGATGGGGGGAGGGGATTCTGACAATAACTTATATCATTATCATCATCATCATTCCATTAGGTACCAAGCCACATGACATGATATGGCTTCACACTCTCTCTTCAGTGGACCTCCTATTCTTCTGTTTGCCCTAAACCTGCACATTATCATGCTAACAATTTCAAAGCTAAAAGCTGAAATGCCAGCATGGATCTGGTATCTTAGAATTTGGGTCTCATTTGCAGCTCCTTCTAAATCACTACATTACATAACAATGTCTCCTATTTACTTGTAACTCCTTCATGATCATTGTGGGAAGACGTGAAGTACAGCATACAGACCATTGCTACAATCATGATCCTCTAGAGAGGTCTATGACAAAGACTTAATCATTACACCACAACTATGTTGGCCACTGTGCACCGAATGGCTTATGTTTGAGATGCAAAATATTTAAGACGTCAACTCTACCTCTATCTTCAAGTGACCTGAGTGATTGTAATTCGACTACGAGATAGTTTTAATAGTTTTGCTCTTTAAGACTAATGGCAAGGATTTTGCTCAAACATGTAGTCCTTTGAACATTAAATTTCTCTGCTAACAACTTGATCATTATAATACTCAAACTAGTGTAACATCCACTGAGAATTCAGCAGACAGTTTTGTCATACATTATATAAGTTTAGCTCCCCCTGATTTCTCCTACCTTCATTTTCAGTTTTACATGTTATACACTGAGGCTGATGTTTAAAGCCATCTGCCATGAATAACATGCACAAAGAGTCAATCATAAACCACCTCTTTTATACAGCACACTACACCACATACCCCCACCAAAATGTCATCACTACCAACTGAATAAGCACAATATACTGAAACTGAAAAGATTGCTTCAATTATTGTGTTTTTGGACATTATTCATTATCCACAATGGATAATGTCCACAAACACAATCATTGTATTAATACATATACCACTGTCACAAACTTTTCAAAAACTGCTTGCTCATTTGTGACCTATTGCATAACTTATATTTATGCAACATTTGACAATTCATTGCTATGGTAATCCAAAATTGTGTTATTTCGAAGCTTTCAACTCACCATTATATTAGTTTTTTATGTATACAAGGGAATGTTTCTGTAATGAGGAGAGACATGTGACAGTTTGTGCTAATTGCAATAGGACAAGAAACTATTCTGCATCTGTTCACAAGAGCACAATGAGTGCCACACAGCATTCATATTCATGCTGCAGGAAAAGACAGGAGGAAGACCCAGTCCTTTGTTAGAAGTCATCAAATCCTCCTCCATTTATCCACCTCCTCTTTCACACACTCATCTTCTGATAAATCCCATTTCCTTTTTTTAAATTTTCTAACTATGTTCTTCACCTGATCCTTCAATCTTTCTCTTGGACTTCTTCTGGATAACCATTCATTTACTTTCATGGACCATTTCATTTTTCACAGTCAATTCTCATTATATATCCAAAAACTAGTCTTTCCTTCCTCTTTTAGTTCTGTTTTGATCCATTTAAGAGAGTGCCCTGAACACTGTCAGGAAAAGTCAGGACAGCTCAGTCAGTATGGTGATGAGTTATGGGTTGGATGCAGCTGTTCAATTCCACACAGGTGTAAGAGATTTCTTTCTATTCCACAGCATCCAGATTGGCTCTGGGGCCCACCCAGCCTCCTATCCGATTGGTGTTGGGGGCTCTTTCCCAAGAGGAAGGGGCCGAAGCGTGAAGCTGACCATTCACGTCCATCTAGTGCTATGGTCAAGAATGATGGAGCTATGCCTCAGTTCCCCATACATCTTCATGGAATGGTGCTTAATTAATTAATTAAGCACAGATACAACTTGACCTTTTACCTTTACCCCAGATACTATTTCAACACACCTTCCTGTGTCTGGAAACATTTGCTGGGAAAGAGGTGATTCTCTTGGAAATTAGCTCTGATACCACAAGTTTCCATGGGTTTGCTTTTCAAGAAAATGAGAAACTTTTAAGAAAAGTAATGGCCATATGAGGCAACATAGTGTAAGTACTATGAAAGGTGCTATAAAACATTTAATGATACAAATACTACGGAACAAGCATGCACAGCTCAGGAAGCAAATGACACTACAGAACGCATGACTGACAGTTTATCTCCAGCAGGGTCAATAATTCTCCTTGCCACCATATCAAGACCGGCATTATGGCACATGCAGACTCTCATTCATTGGGTATCATCAGGACCACTTCCCACAGGAGTAAAACTGCCAGAGTCTGAAACTCACTGCTCACCTCCAGCTGGTACCTAAAATTTACACTATGTGGAGCTACCTGCCTCTCAGACCCATATACCTTCATGGCATCATGCTTATGTATATGGATAACTTTACTTTTACCAGATGGTAAATAAGATGATAATCTGAAGAAGAATAATAATAAAAGAAATATAAGAAATAAAAGATATAGAAGCCAACGTTTGTAGTTCTAACCAGCAGCAAAGATTATGGAAAAGTATAATGGTGTAAATTATACCAAAAAAGTAAGACCAATATAAATGTACTAATAAGTCTCAACAAACATTATACTGGAGCCTAGGTAGCACAGTTAATACAGCGACTGGATACAGGCTGGATGACGGAGGGGCTGGAATTTGAGTCCCAGTAGGATCAAGAATTTTCAATTCTCCACATTGTCCAGGCTGGTTCTGGGGCCCAAGAAGTCTCCTTTCCATTGGGTACCAAGGGCTCTTTCCCTGAAGGTAAAGTGGCTGGAGCGTGAAGCTGACCACTCACCTCCGAGTGGCAAGGTCAAGAAAATGTGAATTTATACATCCACTCCCACATATGCCTTCATGGCATAGTGCTAACTTAGTCAAGCATCTTTTACTCTACAGACAAACATTATATTAAAGTATTACTTTGCAATATGATAGTACTTAAAATTATTGTCTGATTTGCAGTTTTCCTTCATTCAGTGAGCAACTACAATGGACTTCGGTGTTATATTACACCTCTGAACTTCCCCTCAGTTTAATGTTAATATTTATTATTTCTGCAGCCACACCATAAATGAACACAGCACTGTACAGACTTTTATGAAAATTTACACACAAGAGAAGTTGAAAGCAGTAAAGTGGCTGGATGACATCAGTCCATATGTATTCCCAGAAACTGGCTTGAGGTCCTGAATTATACTGGGCCTCAGGGATTGCCCCAAAAGCATAACCTATGGGAAAAGTGGAGTACAGGGCTCTATAAACACAATCTAAATCTGGTAGCAACTTAGTCAAATCTATTCACTTCTCTCTCTCCATGCACTTCATATAAACATGTGCTTTCACAGGGGACATTTAAAATCATGTAAAGTTAACAAAATAAAGGATGAATCTGCATTTTGCATCTTTCAGACAATAAATTACATGTTTACTGAACTTTAATAGTTCACAGCTAAAATTGTATTTGCTACCAGTCTCCACTGTGATGAGTTTAAGAGTATATTTCCTAAGCCCTCATCAGGTAAGAGGGAGGCCTGTTTTATGGTTCTCCAGTATTTACTATGGGGGACCATGCACACTGAGTCATGATCAAGATGTAACCCAAATACCCTAACAGCAAGCAGGAAATATTTGAACTCAACACAGTGTCTGATACCTCTGCTGGGAATTTAATCCTGTCCTATGAAATCCACGTATTAAAACATTTAAACCCTCCAGGGTACTTCATTACCACCGATGACTGTCCATTTCTTTCTTATTTCTGATACAATTCTTTTCTAATTGTTTATATAGTAGAAGAAGAATGACAACAAATGGCAAAAGCACCAGGTTGCATAGTTTTCATATCATGACTAATTTCAATTGTGGAATAACACAAAAGCACGTACCCAAATGCCACTTCGCCCTCTTCACCGGAGTTCCCCTGGATGGTCTGTCACTACCTCCACCAGAATTGGGCCCCATCACTCGGTCCCGTAGAGCTGCTGAGAGAACAGCACACTCTCCTCACCACCAGGTATCATCTTCGATTAGTGTCACAAATAAAGAGGAATTTTGAAATATGGTAAACAAAACAAAGAATGCTTAAAAAACTGGGATAATCAGGAACCTTTGTATTAGCATGCATGGAAAAAAATTACAACAATTATAAGCTACATGCGCACTTCGTTCACATGTAAAATAAACTCTTTCACTCATTAACATTCCTTGCTACGTATTGGAGATTGTGACATCAGATGTGTTCATATTTTTAGTATTTAAATAAACAAATGCAGTCCATAGCACATTATCTAGTCATCACCATCTTCATCACACAATTCCAAATTGGTAACAATATCAGAAACTTTACAGCAACAGTTTTCCTGTGCTGGATTCATATCACCAATGTTACAGACAGTAATGCTGACCAATTGTTTCATTTGACAAATGGAGAATCCAAAAAAAAAAAATATGATATCAAATAAGTGTCACCAAATAGACAAAGGGGGTAACTTGAGACGAATATTCTAAATCAGAAAAGCTCTAAGGGTATGCATGTTTTATAAGATCAGTTTACATAGGGACAGTGGACTATCCGACACTACATTCTGTTTATCAGTGAACAGCAGTAACTACGAGGGGGTACCCAAAAGAAACCGAACTTATTTTTTTTTTAAACTTATTTATTCAAATTTTAAGCACAAACCTTCAATCCCCTTCAAAGTACTCTCCACTTACACTAATACACTTGTCTAGTCTTTTATTCCATTTTTCAAAACATTGTCTAAATTCATCTTTTGAGATGCTTGACAGCGCCTCCGTCGTTTTTTCCTTCACCTCAGCAACATCAGCAAAACGCTTTCCTTTCACGTCTCTTTTCATTCGAGGAAACAAAAAAAAGTCGCACGGGGCAAGGTCGGGTGAGTATGGAGGGTGAGGAACAGGGGTCATACCATTTTTGGTCAAGAATTGTCGTACAGACAGGGCTGTGTGAGCAGGGGCATTGTCATGATGGAAAAACCAGTCACCCGACTGCCACAAATCTGGCCGCTTCCGCCGCAAACTGTTGCGCAATCTTTTCAAAACTTCCAAGTAGAAAGCCTGGTTAACTGTCTGACCCTGCGGAACAAACTCTGAATGGACGACTCCTCTCACATCGAAAAAACAAATCAGCATTGTTTTCATGTTTGATTTCACCTGACGAGCTTTCTTGGGGCAAGGCGAACTTGAAGTCTTCCACTGGCTTGATTGTTGCTTTGATTCAGGATCGTAAGCATAGCACCAGGTTTCATCACCGGTGATAATTTTGAAAAAAAAGTTTTGATCATTTCGGGACTCTTCTTTCAAAGCACAGCATGCTTCCACGCGACCTTGTTTTTGTTCAGCAGTCAGCAGTCGTGGCACGAATTTCGCAGCCACCCTTTTCATTCCCAAATCTTCTGTCAAAATTCGCTGAACTGAGCTCCAAGTCACTCCCGACAGCTCCACAATTTCTTCAATGGTCCGTCGTCGATCTTCCTTGATGATTTCACGAATTTTTTCAACATTTTCATGTGTTCGGGCTGTGGAAGGACGACCAGAACGAGGTTTGTCATCAATTGACATTTCACCATTTTTGAAACGGGAAAACCACTCAAACACTTGAGTTTTCCCCATAACATCGTCCTTGTACGCCGTTTTTAACATTTCAAGGGTTTCTGTTCCACTTTTCCCAAGCAAAAAGCAGAACTTCACTGCCGCACGCTGTTCACGAAAATCAGCCATTGCAAAAACGACCATCACACAAAACAGTTGTCACTATAAACTCTGCCAAAACTAGTCCTTACCTTCTGAAGCAACGGTAGTCGGCTTATCAACTCAGGAATGTTAGCTCTATGCGCTCATAGCGGCAAAATGCGGTACTACAAAAGCTCTGCCACAAAAAAATTAGTTCGGTTTCTTTTGGGTATTCCATTGTATAGAAGCATATCATCATTATTAACATCATACAAAATTGTATCCAGCATTATCCTCTCATGGTTAAATCTACATGCAGGCAATATTAATGGGTGTGGATTTTGATGCAATAGATCAACTGCTGATCAGATTTCCTGCATTTTTCAGACATTGCAGAAGAAATGGGAGTACAATGGGTCAGTCCAACACCTATATACAGACTTCAAGAATGCCTGTAATTCCAATGGGAGAGAAGTACTGTACAGTATTCTCATTTGCTTTGGTATATGCATGAAACTTGTTAGACTAACAAAAACATGTTTAAAGAAAACCTACAGTAAATCCTTCGTAAGTACGAAGTTGTCCGATATGTTTCCTGTTCAGAACGTCTGAGATAAATAAAAGCTTTGCTGCCATTGCTCTTAAATTGTATTTTAGAACACACCACTTATGAAAAGCCAAGAAAACAAGAAGGGATGGAAATTGAATGGAAGACTTTAACTTCTAGTCTATGCTGACATTATTTTATTGCATGAAAACAAAGAATAACACAGGTCCATTAGACACTAGGAAGAAGACTGGTCTAGAAGTAAAAACAGACAAAACAATGTAGATTCAAGTTTCATTACCAGAATATAGGATAAAATTAACAAGTCCACTGCAAAATATTTAGCAAAAGTAAAATATTTGGACTGGTAGTAACAAATCAAAACTGCATTAGAAAAGAAACTGAAAACACAGTAAAGCAGAGACTGCTTGCTACTGTTCAGTTCAGAATATTTTATCTCCCTGCCTCCTATATAAAAACATAAGGACTAAAACATACACGAGTAAAACCATAATTTGTTGTGCTGCATGAGCAGCATGGTCTCTCACATTAAGGCAACACACTGAAGACTTGCAGGGCATGTATCACATACTCGTATAGGCCACATGAGAAATTAATACAGAATTTTGGTCAGAAAATCTGAAGAGTGACCACCCAATGATCCAGGCACAGATACAAGATAACACTGAAATGAATCTTAAAAAAAGAGTGGAAATGTGTGGACTTGATTCATCTCATTCATTATAGGGACCAACTGTAGACTCCTGTGAATTCAGTAATAAATATTCAGATTTCATAAAAGGTGAGGAACTTACTATGGAGCTGAGCAACTATTCACTCCTCAAGAAGGAATCTGCTCTGTGGATTTGGCTGACTGGTTACACTTCATTTGCCAAACGATGAAGTTTTTCAATTCCTGCATAAAGCTTTGCCGAGTGCTCTCACCCATTTACATGGTATCAGTCAAATGTCTGCAATTACAACTGCACTGCCAACTGTCCCCAGCTAGAAACACAGCCACTTGACAGGACAGCAGTCTTGTGCACTACCTTCTGCACAGCTGAGACGTTTTACATTACTTCAGTTTTGTCATGTGAACTAATGGACAGCTTACTGCCTCATGTAAATTGGCCATTAGCTAAAGAGAACTCAGAGAATGCAGATGTGAATGTGTGACACACTTCAATTATAGTTAAACGCATTCTTCTCAAAAATGTTATGCTGAAAAAGACTAGAAAAAAGTTTAAAATTAAATTCTTCTAGAGTTCTCTTTTACATTGGTTACACTGTATTTCAAACCACAGATATAACTTACGGGCTATTCTTTCTGGATGTGGTCGAATGGGGCTTGGATTTAGCTCACTGGGGCTGAATGAGATTGGAGGAGGACTACTTGCAACATAGAAGTCCTTCAGCTCTGCCTTTGCAGCCTCATCTGCTATCCTCTTATTATCGATAATCAAATGATATGCAATCGCAAGCTGGTCATGTGGATCTCCGCTGAGGAGGGCACTGTGCACTTCTTGCTCTTTCACTCCAAATTTCTGTAAAAGTACATCCCCTTAACCACTTCCAACCACCTCCCACCACAGAATACACAAGTTCATGTCACTCAAATAAAAAATAAGAAGTTCTGAAAAGAATTTGTATCATTTGCTTTCTTTAACCACTTCAGAGGCATTTTTGCAAATGTACAAGAAAAAATGTGAACCCTTTCTTGCAGTCTCAAACCAAAATATACATTATTAGCATAATATAATTTATTTTAAGGCCATACTTTTCAATTACAACTCCAAAATTGTTACTCATTTGTATGACTATAAATAATGGGAAAGCTCAATTACAAGTTGCACCTCATTTGCATATTTCTGAGAGTCTATTAACATAGTTCACAATTACCAGATGATAAGCATGATTCCACTATGACTGAACAAATTAAAAATAAAAAACCTTTGTGTCTGTTGCTGTAGTAGGCCACACATCTTTTTGTCTGATTCTTCTATTATTGGTTAGATTCATTTGTATTAACCGTTTCTTAAGCTCAAAATTATCTTCTTCCTTATTTCCAGGATGTCGATTGTTATTGTTGTTGTGTTCCCTACTTGATGTGCTATGCTCTGCTGCACGGTCTAGACTAGACAAAACGATGCAGAGCCTACTATGTGCCTTCAAAATATCCAGCTTTCTCAAAAGAACATGGCAGTACACCCCAGAAAACCATACTCTTTGAGACTGCAGAGAATTCCACATAGTGCCAGAACTAATAGAACAAGTACTGTAGTACATCGCATGATTCATGAATAGGATAACTGTAACAACCCAGAACAAAACTGTGACAGCCAGTCTTCATTCTGGATAAATCCAAGGGCTGGGTTTGGTTGGGTTGTCTTCAGTTATGTTACATTGCATTAGTAGCCACTAAAGTGTATTAACCTTTATAAACGCCAGACTTTGGAAATGGTGGTAAGCTTGAGCTGGCCAGAGTTTATTTAAATGCCTGCTGCTGGTGCACGTTTAAATGCCCGTTGCTACTCTGCATTTAAATGTCCATTCCTATTGGGGTGTTTAAACAATTTTAAGCATGCTGTATCTAACACAGTTTTTATGATAAATGGATGGAATTAACTTTGTTTGTATCAGCAAAGAATACAGTGTCACATATTATAATATAAGATTTGCAAATTTTTATACAAAGAGTTATACTTTATTTTCAATTTTTTTTCTTTTAATTTTGATGCATACTGTAAAAATGGTTTCCCAGTTCACAGAGCTGTTCTGCATTATAAAATCAGTCCTGCTTGTAACACTTGACATACTTTAGCAGTCCCTGGTGTCATAAAACAGATGGAAGCAATAAAATCATTTGGTCTACTGCTGGCAAGTTTCACATCTTTCTTACACTCTTCAGATTTTTTAATCTTTTGACTAAAGGACAAAAGAATGAAAGCATGGCTATTCAAGAAAAAGCTAGAGGGGTCCCTTCTTCAGTGCTAACACCTGCAAGAGATTATTGCCCCTTCTAGGGTCATGAACAGACAGTTGCATTGTGGCTGAGATACAGAGTGTGATCTGTTCTCTGTGCATTTATAGTGAAATCGAATACTGTAGTTTCATTTCAGCCTATATATATATATATATATCAAGCAGATAACAACAAAAAAGGTATGTGCATCGAATTTTAATATATATTTTAACACATTAATCTGCAGAATCTGCAATAAAAGTACTGGCTCATGGATGAGTTTGGTTTATAACTCATACATATACTCTTTTTTGTTTTTGTTCACTTAGGTATCATTTTAATTCCTCTATTAGGGTTTTACTCAAGTCTGTCTGGTAATTACTACATTTAAAAATAAATATTTAGGACTGTGTATGTGTTGCTACTAGAGGTGTGTGTGTGTGTGCGCGCTCCAGCAGCGGAGTTCAAATGCCCAACTGGCCAAATCGGGGTACTTTGGCCACAACCATACTCATCACTGGCCCGATCAGGGCACTTCAGACATTAAAGGTTAATGTAATGCTATGAAATTTAAAAACATTATTATCTTTGTCTGAAACCCTGCATAAAAAATTATACAGCACTGGCTTACCTCGCATACTTCATTCACAGCATCAGTGTCTATCACAGAAGAGTCCTGCTCTACTGGAGACGGAAAGAGATATGCAGGAAGGTCACGCTGGAACCATTCATGTTTTCTTGCATGAAACAAACCACAACATTTTTATAGCTGGAAATACATACAGCTGTGCATAAATAAAACAGTACTCTCTTACAGGAAAATGTTCACAATATTTTATGTAAGGTGCACTAGGAGGATCTTCCCAAACTTCTAGGGAACTTTGGTCAATTCGAGATGAAATAATCAAGCATACCCTCTCCCGAGTTTAAGTGCTATGGAGAAAAAGACAGGAGAGGTTTTAAAGCGAGTTGTTCTGTTGTGTTGAAAGTACGTCTGGCAAACCTGTGATATGAAGTAAAGAGTGACTGCACACCACACTGTGCAAGTTTGTGCTTGCTACTGGCCAGGCACTAGTAAGTTATGGTGACCCTTCATAAGGTGCAGTAATGTCAGTTCAGTGACTTCATACCAGTTACCATTAGCACTAATGTGACTGCCAGCAAATATTGTGACATGGATTTCATCTGTGAATTTTGCAATGGCACTGCACACTCTACTGCTGTAAAATAATAGAGACATTTCTCAACTGAAGACTACAATTATAGAATTATTTAACAATGTTCAATAAACGCTTTGTGAAACTGGTTCACTTCCAAGTGTTACGTGTGTGTCATTCGAAAGTGAGGAAGTACTGCCAAATGTAGACGCACAAGAAAACGTTTCTGATATGGTATAGCATAGTCCACAATTAAGCACTCATAAACTTTCCAGTAGACCTCGTTGTATATATGTATGTCTGTCACTTGCTCACAGAACACCCATAACTGCAAAGGAAAATTTTAATCATGGATGCTTCCTTTACACAGGACACTGTAAATATGTGAAATGCCCATATATGGTCACATGTTCATCCGCATATAATGAGAGAAAGTTACTTCCAGAGGAGATTCTGAGTGAATGTATGGCGTGCATTACTGGATTGAAAGTTAACTGAACAAATCCCCTTTGATCACCACCTAACAAGAAACATTCAGGAAAGGTTTCAGTGTTTCCAAGAATTGAATTAGAAAGTCTGTTAAAAGATGTCCTGTTAATGATGACATGCATGATGTACTTTCAGGATGACTGGGCTCTCCTACACTACACTCAACATATGAGGGAGTATATATGAGTGTTTTCCAAATTGGCACACAAGTCACAGCAGACACCCAGGCATAGCCACCAAGTTTGCCATACCCTAACCTTGCTAGTTACTTTCTTTGGAGTCACATGAAGAACTCAGTGTACAAAAAGACTGATCAAAACCTGCACAGCTGTAATATTTTTGTAGCAGCCCAACACATACTCAATCAAAATGAAACCACTGCTGCAGGTAACCAGTCATTACTCATGCGTACTGAGAACTGCAGACTTTCAAGGAGGAAACTTTGAACAATTCCTGAAATGTTGTTCTGTATACTTAATGGTTCAGTTGTTAATAAACATGTAAAAATCAATTTCATTAAAACTTCTCCTGTCTGTATCTTCTTATAGTTAAACTCCAGAGAGAAGTATGTTCAATTATTCTGACTCAAAATGACCCCAGGAACATTTTCTAGAAGTTTGGCAGGAACCTCCTGGTACATCCTGCATATACAGGATCAACAGAAAAAGACTCTTGCAGTTTACATTGCATATTTTTAACTGAAATGCTGAATGGTGATTAATAATTTTACTGCCAACTTACATCAGAGGTTTCGGAAAAGTGTTGTTGCCCATTGTAACTTCCTGAATCATTGTCTGACAATATGGCATACACGTTAGAACATTAATGAGGTGCCATTACACCTACAAAAATGCACAATACAGTACACTGTTTCAGTCATAGCAACTGTGATCCAGTTCTCCTCATCAATGCTGTGACATCTGAACATTATAGGGCAGTAAATAAAGAAAACACCCATTTCTCCTAGGCATACATTTCCAGTTCAGTGACACATTCTTCAAACACAGTGGGGCTCAGTCACATAGAGAGAATGCGGTTACTGATGCCCACAGTGAGACTATGACAATCATGCTATTTTGAGTTCCTTCCCCAGACATTTTGGCTATGGATAGTCTTGGCCAGCATATTCTATTTCAATGTCTGCAATTACTTTTTATGGGGATATGTGAAAAACAATGTGTACAAGAAGAAGCCCACAAACCTGATGAACTGACAGAAGAAATTTCATCTGCTGTCATCAGAATTAATGCAGCCAATCTAAGGATGCCACTTGTTCTCATACTGAACATGTTTCCTATTGGGATTATTCTCCCAAGTCTTCTTTGCTAATTAAACACTAAAATCATTCTTATACCATAAGCATATCAGAAAGTATATGCATTTAAAACTGAAGCATCTGTTTTGATTGACACTGTATACTTCACATTTACCATATCTGACAAAATATAATGCACTCTTTGCCTACTTCAAGCACCTCCAAAAAAGCACTGAGATAATAACTAACTACCACTTCTGTGCACAAAAATCTGCACTGCAATTTCAGAAATCATTTTTGTTGTTCATGGTAATTCCTTACACTGCCTGTCAAATTTGATGGGGGATAATCACTCACCTCTTCCTTTCATGTATCTCTTTTATATTCTTATCTCCTTCCTTTCTTCCTCCAGTATTACTTTCCATCTCTCATCTGCTCTATCAATATTCCCCTCCTACTTCCTTCTCTCTCCTTCAAGTTAAAATAACTCCCTCTCCTTCATTCTTCCATACCTTTCATCTTTTCTCCTGTATTTCCTTCCCAATTAATTTATGCTGTGGTGTGAGCAAGGGGCATGGTGGGGTGTGTCACCTGGCCTGCAAGCACCACTCAATTGGAGTAAGATCAAAGCCCCACACCCTGAACGTTTTATAACCGTTAAATGACGATGATAGCCAAAGCCATCTGAGAACCATCTAAAATTTTCCAGATTTGGCCACCAGGAAGTCAAAGCAAGTGAGTCTGTCTGAGCTTAGAAGTGGCAGAGTGTGGACATATGTGGAGAGCCAGACATGAAGCAGAGTTTGCTGGGGCATTAATGTGGAACAGTGGTGGACAAAAGAGAACTGACATCAAGATCATAAGTGGTGAGACAATCGGTGAGGGAACAGCTGTTCAAAATAACAATAAACATCACAACTAGCATCAGAAGTGGGATCAAGGATGGGTCCAGCACTGCAAGTGTTATTTTGAAGAACAGAAAAAGGCCAGAAGTACCAATCAGGAACACAAAACAACACATGTTCCAGATAACACAGAAGAGTGGCTAGCCAGGAAGAACCAAAAAGACATGAGAGCCAGCCAACAGAAACTAGTGGTCTCTCAGGGGCAGTGTACAAGCATATCACTAAGGCACTGACGGATCACCGGCTGGCAGCAGTCTATGAGTCTCAACAAAAAGTCAAGACTCAGCTGACTGTGCACAGCTGAAGGGTTCCATGGAGGAGGTAAACACCATTTTGGGACCAAACTGGAAGACTGCCCACCAGGAAGGATGTGTGCCAGTGTGCAGGCCACATGCCTCACCCCCGGGTTCCTCATTCATGAAAAGACAAAATGCTCATCCTATCAACATCCCTCACCATTATTCAGCAATGGGAGGAGATAATCTGGATTTTCCCCCATAATGCAAGTCTTCCCTGTATCATACACACAGGAGATTATAGTTTGAATTTTCTACCATATTCCAGCAGCAGCAAGAGATATTTTGGGCTGTCCCCCATACACCAGCAACAGCAGAAGATAGTTCACGTTTTCTCCCGTATCCTTGCAATCCCATTGCTGTCATGGCCCCAGTGCCTTTCTTATGGATGAAGTAATGGAGAAATAAGTTGGCAGGGACTTGAATCCTATATTTAACAGCAAAACTAACAGTCTTTCCAGGGTATTCTATGACAAATATCTTTTGTCTTTAACAGTCTTTTCTATGATGCACCATTTGGGAGAAATAGGGTGGAACCAACAGGCTTTGGTGAATATATATACAGACAATAATTATTCCTTAGTTATAGTTACTAGCAAAATACCCAAAAGAATTGAATGTGCATAAATATATGGGAAGTTTCATTTTTGTTACAGTATTTGGAGCAGAAAAATATGTATCACCTTCAGGTGGTACTTATTTCTGTGGGTACACAGAGTGCCTATAACCTGGTTTACAAGAAGTGGTACTAGAATCATATCCAAGTATGTAAGGCCTCATGAACATTGGGTTGGAACTGTTACTTGATGCAATAAAACAACAAAGTAACCAGGAAATCACAAAGTGGCTTAGAAAGTATTTACACACTTGCCTCTGCTACAAGAATGTGCTCACTTTAGCCTTGTTACATTTCAAAAGCAGTTACTGTAAATGCACAGCTGAGACTGGCAGCTGTTATGGTAACTGTTATGAAACTGTACAACTATTTGATAACAGTGACTAATCTCAGGGTTTCATATCAGACTTTCTCCATCAGTGGAGAATCTATCAACTGCTCGAGGTACATGATATACCACAGTGTTGGAATTATCAAATATTGTACTATGGTGAAACTATATAACAGATTTAAAAACATAACATCCTGTTAATGCAAATATTGATGCAATAAAGGAAAAGGCATGAATGACTCACATCCCTCATACAGCAATCAAATATTTCTACATTACTATTTGCTAGAAGTACTAAAAAAGCATATTTATGTTGCACTCACTTTATATCTTCAATGGTAGCTCTCTTCATTGGATCAATCTGCAGCATATGGCACAACATACTCACAACTGTTTTATTCAGGTACTCAGGGATGGGGAATACTCCAGCTATAACAGAAAAAAGTAGTTACTCTGTTGTGGAGCACAAAGAAAATACTGAAAATACAGTGAAATCTGTAAAATTGGCCACCCCTGAATGTTGGCCACTTGCCCAAGTTCACCACACTCCTGAGGACCATAAAACACAGTCAGGATAAAACCTGGCAAAGGCAAAAAATATTTGAGACATTATTTTTGATTTTTTGTCTGTGAGCACAAATATCCATGTTACGTCGCATTCATTTGGCTTCAACCGCATTTTGATGCCAAAATTATGCACTGGTCAATATTTCATCAGGGAGCATTTCTGTCCTAGTTTTCATCTGGATATTGTAGTAGAGTTTCTAGGTGTGAATATCCATACCATGTTGTCACATCAGATTCAACTCTAATGGCACCTGCCCTGATAATTACCTGCCAGTCAAAAAATTCTATCAAGGAAAATTTTCTTCCTGATGTTCATCAAGATATCATGTGGTAGGAATAAATACAGATCCTGTACTGCCACATCACATTCAACTGTAATGACAAGTGACAATAAATAACCTCAACAGAATGGCTGAAACAACTCTCACAATACTGTGGAGATTCACACATAAGAAACTGGACAATGGACAACTATGTGTGGTGTAAGACGTAACTTTCGATTTGAAAATTCAGTAACACAGCAAAGGCAAGAAGCACGTGGGACTTCATTTCCTGAGCTCTTCTTCTTGTAGTTACTATAGGATTCTGACGATGGTGTATAACACACTGATATATTGGGTTTCTGGACTTTATCCATCGTCCTAATTTTTAAGATAACAAATAAAAACACGACGTTTCGGAAACTGGATCTGTTTCCGTCCTCAGGTGAAGGAAAAGGGGAACATCTATTCTGTTGGGTCCGTTAGAAAGAGCTAGCCTCAATCACTGGACAAACCAATGTCACAAAACATGAAGATTATAAACACCTGAGACCAGGCTAAGTCCATGAGAGCTAATAAGAAAAATGTTTTCATAACAAATTGTAGCAAACACATATCCTGGTTCCATGCTTGTATGTGTTTGCTACAATTTGTTATGAAAAATTTTTCTTATTAGCTCTCATGGACTTAGCCTGGTCTCAGGTGTTTATAATCTTCATGTTTTGTGACATTGGTTTGTCCAGTGATTGAGGCTAGCTCTTTCTAACGGACCCACCAATAGGTGTTCCCCCTTTTCCTACACCTGAGGACGGAAACAGATCCAGTTTCCGAAACGTCGTGTTTTTATTTGTTATCTTAAAAACTAGGACGATGGATAAAGTCCAGAAACCCAATATATCAGTGTCTTCCTCTTGTCTATCCAAAATCTGTATTATGCAGGGTGGGATGAGAAGTGACTCAGGTGGGTCATGCAGGATGGGGTTTAGAAGAAGTTTGGCTTGACTTCGCTTAAGGATGCCTGTCAGCTGCAGAGGTTATTTATTAGTGAAACAGATGAGATGAATAATATGATGCACTGGAGATAAACAGGTGAGAAGTGACCATCATTCTGAAGTACTCAGCAATATAATAGCTAATGCCGCAGTTGAAACTGAATTCTGTACCATCTTTATGTAAGACAGACATGTTAATTACAGAACTAATCACCTCTGTACTTGGCTCGACCAGTGGGACACAAAATCATACATAATATGGTCCTAACATGACTGGTTAGGGTAAGCAAGACAAAAATTCACTCCATTGCAACTTACATTTTATTTTTCGAAAGAGTGTTGGCACATGTTCATCATCAAATGGTAAAGTACCACATAGTAAGGCATAAAGGATCACTCCACATGACCATATATCAACTTCAGGGCCTGCATACAGCTTGCCTGAAATCACTTCTGGGGCAGCATAATTTGGAGATCCACAGCTTGTACGAAGGAACTCACCATCCATCATCATGTTGGACAAACCTAGAAAAAATTCAACACAACTTCTACTCTGGTTCAAAACCCTAACTAGAAGCAAAGAGTGCAAAATACAGTATATAAACTTTCTCACAAGTAAAGAGATCTATCTTCTGGGATATACTGCCGTGAAGCACAGAAGTCACATGTGTAGGTCCAAGGCATGCAGCAGAAGATAAAGGAGAAGAAACAGCGCAGGGAAGCCAGGAGAGGTGAGTGAAGGCTTAGGGTTGATGAGTGCCAAGACTGGACATAGCTGGCACCTTGATAAGGGCACTGTGGATGGACCTACATGGCCACACAGAGAACCCAGCTCTAGAACCCTGTGAAAAAGACTTCCTATGATCTTTCTAGCAAGAGATGAGAGGTTTTCATGTCTTACTAAAAAGCCATTCACCCTCTCCCATATCTGTGGAATGTATCCTGAGAATGAACTCCTAGATGGCATATAAAATATTAATCCAGCTACAGGAGGATTTCTTACTTTTTATTTTCATTCAAAAATAGGACAGTGATTATTCAACAAATGCCACTGATTCACAGTCTTATGTGCAACGCATCCTTCTAAAATGCATTTAAAAGTGTCATCTTATATCCACAAATATAGCAAAAACATAAAAAAATTAAAACAATGTCAATGCTTCATGGAAAAACAGACATATGGCAACTATGTAACCATACAACATCAATACATTTCCAAAACAGTAATCAATGAATTTTTGTTATCACACTCCTACATGCACACACAGTTTATTATATGTCTCAAGCCATCAGAATACAGTTGGTGGCTCTGCATCTAAGGTACACTTCATAATGTTCATATGTTTTTTTCATATTTACATCTTTGCTTCCATTTAACAAGAAGAATGATATTAGAGGAAGAACAGATGCTTGAATACTAAACATCTGTTTCTTAAATGGTCTGGAATTAGAAGTTATTACAGAAAATGTGCCTACTTAAAGAGAAGTTTAAAATACCAAAATGCAATCATGAAAGATCTCCATACAATACCAATACCAAAATGTGCTGTTAGCAGACTAATAATTGCTGGCCATTGAGTGAATACAGCTTTTTTCACACCAGAATGCTGTAATTGAAGGACAGAGGCAACTTCCTCCAGAAAAAAATTGCAGACCTAAATTAACTCATATATAGAAGTGACCTAAAAGTTAAGTCTGTGAAAGAGAAATGTAAAAAAAAAAAAATAAAGAAAACAGTAAAGGTATCCCTGTTACAAGCCAGGGAGGCCCATAGGGTTGTGAGATGTTGAAGTTCCCATATTTTCTAGACAACTAACTCATAGAGGGCGGTAAGGTTGTCAGCCTTACACACTGGCTGCCCTTTACCCCCAAGAATATTCCTGGGACTCATTTCTGTTAGAGGCTGAGTCGACCCCAGGGCCATAGTGCGGCTGAAAGGATTAGGTAAATTGAAAAAATCCACTTCATTGGATTCGATCCTGTGACCTTCCGGCTTGTAGCATAGTGCCTCAACCAACTATGCTACCACATGCCCCGAAGGAGAAATGTACCTAAGAATATGTTATTATCTTTCCTCAAAACCTAGCACTGGAAGAGGGGGTAATCATATAGTGCTGTTTTTCGCACTCCATGTACGATTAATATATTCTCCGCTTCAGTGCTAACTGGGCTTATGTTCAGATCATAGGATGTAGACTTGACTCTTTCATCTCATAATTCTACTATACCAATATACTCTCCAGCCCAGATTATTTTTGTGTTCAAAGTTCTACTATTTTTAGTCTACTTTCCTTATTTTGAAAAAATAAATGTAGGCTTACGAGACATGCTGTCTGTGTGTCTGTGTATCCCCCTATCAACTTTTGAATACCTGAACTAATCTTTATGAGACCTGGTATGTATATCAAGGAACCTGAGCCCATCTCAACAACATACTTAATAAATTCTTTCCATTAGTCTGTGTGTCTGTATGTGTACCTTCCCATACAGTTGCTAGGCAATGGCTCGGTAGACATGTTCCTGCAGTAACGAATACACACAACAGAAGACCTGCTGGAGGCATTGTTTTCTATAAGATCTGTGCCATATCAAAGGAGAGTCTGTGGGTATGTCTGTGTATCCCCTATCACTGCTAGGCAAAGGCCCATTAAACAGATTCCCGCGGAATGGAAGAACTGTTGCAAATGTTGTATTCTGTGCCATCCATGCAGTATCAAAGGAACATATGCATTCAGTTCTTATCAGAACTTCCTGTTCTTGTTATTCTACTGATCTGGCAGGGAAAAATGCTTTCTACCTTTTCAACTTGCATCCTTCGAACAAGTACAAAAATTCAGTTGTTCATACAACATATAACACTAGCGTATTCAGCACCAATGTGTGGACAAAACAAAACCAACACGAAATGGGCATATTAAGGGTTGACCAAGTGGACATGCTACATAGACATGAGCATACTTTGGGTTAGTTCTGAATGGGTTAAATAACAGAAAAGGCAAGAATAAATTCTGCTGATCCATTCAGACAAAAGAAGAGTAAACAGTCAGGCAAAGAAATGATTCTGAAGATTACTTTTTATAAACTCTAAGATACCTGAGATGTACATTTCTAATGAGATATCTTTTTGTCATAATTATTTCTGTGCACAAAGTTTATGAGAAAGAAAAATGCAACCTGCTGCAATGATATAATCACAGTATCATACTTCTTGGTATTGTAAGTGCACACACTGATCTGAGGTTTGAGAACAAATGCACCCCTTGTGGACAAGACTTTCTTGAAGTATTTGATTTAGGCATTCATTTTCTCCCCCTTCCTCTTAATCTCCTTTCTGTAGATCAGGGAGTGAATGTACATGTAGTCATTTCCTACATAGCTAAAAATTGTGGCCTCTAAATTCCAGGACTACTATAAAAATGAAATGGAGCGTCAATTATTCTGACTAAATACGAAGATATTCTGCTGAACTGTAATGTGTAATTACACATCTTCACTAAGAGTCTGTATTTAGAGGCAAAGAGCAATTCTTAAATTTTTCTCAAAATACAGTTTCTACTTCAATCTCCTTCTTCTAAGCTGATTTAGTCTTTTATGGGACTAAGAATAAGGAGAAACCAAACCACTTTCCCTTTCTTCTCTTTCTCTTCTCTCAATTTCCTATTCTTGTTTCCACCTCAGTCTGCTCCGTCCATGCAGCATTTCCAGTGTTCCACAAATCCTCCCTCCAGAAAGAGATCAGTCCTTCAAAGGTCAATTTTTCTGTTCACTTTATACTGGCTATCATTTGATAAATCACATGATGCAGCTCCCACTGACCCAAATATCAGCACAAGCCACTGTGTAGTCTCTTTGTCTTGAAGATGGTGACAGTAAGGAGCCCTTAAATGTCAATAATATGCCTACATGTGCATGCATTAGGACACACACTGCAATTTGCTTATGTTTATAGCTGATTAAAAACACAAATAACAGTAAGGTAAGGAGAGAAAAATTGTGCAAAACAAAAGTAAAATAAAATATTTCATCCCAAAATTTTCACTACAAAATAAAATTAATAAACAAAGAGCTATATCTGCTCTCCCCTATCCCCCCTCACAAAAAACATGTTTGCCAGTACTCTCATGTTCAGTTTTAGCCTCAGAATCAAAATATACAATGTGCAAGCAGGTGTACAATTTTTCAAAAGTTGCTGGCAAGCACAATTCCTTGCTGGTATGCGTACTAGCCGAAAATAAGCACCAGCTTTATACCACACAAATCAAAATTTAGGACAATATGATAAGTGCATCCAATGGTTAAAAAAGCTAAAATATTATAAATTTAAAATTCATACCAAAATCTGCTATCTTCACATGCAGATTGTGGTCAAGAAGCAAATTTTCTGGCTTCAAGTCACGATGTACTATCATGTGCCGGTGACAATAATCTACACCAGAAATAATCTGCTGGAAAAATCTACGCGCTTCATACTCCTTCAACTGAAATTGAAATAAAACTCACTTATACACTGTCTTCCTCTTCCAAGCAAATGAGAACAATATTCTTTCACCACCAACATCATTAGTACCCAACTTTGTTATGCGTGGTCTGACTGCCAACATATGATGAGATTGATCTGAATTTCAACTTCTGAAGCATGCCTCTTATTAGTATGTGCCTACAAACTGCAGTAAAAAAAAATGAAAGCTGTCATTTAAAACCACACCCTAATGAAAGCATATAAAAATAATTTTAACTTCACAGCTGGTCAAGTACATTCTCACAAAACACTTTCTCTTCAATACCACTTACAACTTCAGCCACATGCCTAGGTTGAAGCAGAGTCACAAGTCTCGCCTTTATATGTATTTCATTATATAATCCAATTCTGTTACAATGAGTTTCTCTGTATTGCACGAAGGTATTTATTAATATCAAAGATCATTATAACATTAATTCATGAAAATGTGTATAAAACCTTACATATAAAACACTGCCTTAAATATGTAATACATACTTTTATGAATATAAAGTGAGTGATTTTACATTTGAAACCTAACTTATACCTAGCTTGAATTTTTGTGTATATTAGTCCTCAAGCCCGCAGTGAGTAATAGTGCTTAGATAAAATCTAACCTACTTAAGACAATTATGTGTGCAGTCAATTATCACAACTAGATATAATAAAAAGCACTGCAAACAAATTTTTCATACCAAAGATACAAATATGCCAACAACCTTAGAACAACTTAACATCATCAAGCTTCTACATTGAACTCCTGGAATAGGAATGGCTAATCTGGGAGATGAATGCTTGTGTGGTGCAAGTTTAAAACAGGAATTAAAATGTGCTATTCTTGAATTGGAATCGGCTACCAAAATCATTAGAATACTAAGGGAGGAGATATTCAGTGATATTTTAGAGGTTATGAGCAGCTTAAAAAGTGGACTCAGCAAAAAGAACGAAAATAAAAGTGACTCCTCCCAAAATAACTGGAAAAATCAGATACAGAATCTAGGAAGCTGGCAAAGTGAGACTACTGTAGAACGGAAAGTTACGTTTAAGGACATTAAGGATCCCCATTCGAGGGGATCTGTAAGAATTATAAGTGACTATTTAGGGGCTGTTTATTGAACGAAAGCTGATCTGCAGTTTTCTGCATTTAGACCCGTTAAATCAACATACGCCGAAGATGAAACAATTCATAAAATCCCTACTATCATTAATGGTGCGACTAATACTTGCTCTAATGATGGAAGTGAGTTTTCAGAGAGTGATGAACTGCATATCAGTGATTGTGCCTTACACAGGAAAGCCGGTAACAAATTATTGCCTTTGAAAAGGAAGCGTAAGTTATTACCAATTGGAGACAGTCATGCAAGAGGATGTGCAATGAGAGTCAAGAACATGATAAGTGACAAGTTTGAAGTTTGTGGACTGGTAACACCGGGCTCGGACGCTGATAATTTAACAAAATCTATTAATAATGAGGTTATGAATCTATCAAAGAGTGACATATTGGTTTTTGGGGTGGCTCCAATGATGTGTATAAGAATAATTCTGAGATTGGTTTGACTCATATTCTAAATTTTGTTAAAGCATGTAGTCACACTAATATCATTCTCTTAAATGCCCCCCCATAGGCATGATTTGACTAAATCCTAATGTGTCAATAAGGAAGTAACCAGGTTCAATAGAAAACTAGCAAAATGTATAAAATTATATGAGCATTGTACCCTATTTGATGTTGATCTCAATAAGGATCTTTTTACTAAACATGGATTTCATTTAAATGGGTTAGGAAAAGATGCAATTGTGAAGCAGCTTGTGTGTCATATTTGTGATAGACTGTTTAAGGTGGCCTCAACCCCAATTTGTCTGGGCTGGAAAAATGATCTTTCCAATCAAGACTTTGAGGGAAATTCTTCTCCTGATGAAGTGGAAAGTTGTGTGGAAGTCAAACAACTTTAAACTTGGACCACTCTTCTTTTGATGAAATGGAAAATTGTGTGGAAGTCTCTAGTCAAACAATTTTAAACTTGGACCATTCTTCTACTGATGAAATGGAAAGCTGTGTGGAAGTCTCAAGTCAAGCAATTTTAAATTTGGACCATTCTTCTCATAGTTCTGTTTTAAATTCAATTAATTCTGTAGCTAATAGATCGTCTAATACAATAAGATGAACACCGGTAACAAGAAATAGGGAGTTTTTATGGTGACTCAGTCTCCTGGGTCAGTTAGTGATCTTACAAGTAATGAGTTTAATTTGTTTCATTCTGGTCCGTCACAATAACAATTACAAATTATAAATCACTCCGTCCAATTTTATACATTTTTTTAAAACTTACATTCCCAGGAAACTGCTGTGTTTGTGAAATGTTCTATTCTGTGTAATGTGTGTTGTAACATATAAGTGTACGTACTTTGCGTGTAAACAAATTATGTGATAGTGGTTTCCTATTTGTAGTGATGTTTGCCCTCTGAAGATGGTCCACAGAGACCGAAACATGTAAGGGTGTTAAGTTTTTATGTAGTAAAAAACTTACAGGTCACCTTGGACGGAGTAATTTATAATTTGTTACGAGTAATGGTTTAGGTAATTTTAACAATACTCATAGACGCAGTGCTAATTTTGATCATAATCATTCAAAATTAAATTCTCTGAGCTATGACAGTAAGAGATATAAATTTCATTCTTCTGGTGATAATTCTCTTAATTTATATCACCAAAATATCGGGGCTTACAAGGTAAAAGCAATGAATTAATTAGCTCCCTACATCCTGAGCTGCCGCATGTGTGATGTCTAACTGAACACCACTTAAATTATAATGATCTGGGCTGTACTTATATAGAACATTATAAATTCAGTGTTGCTTTTTGTAGGATAAATTTTAAATCAGGTGGATCATGCATATTTGTACAGGAATAAACTAAAATTTTTACAATTATAAAAGACAAGTCTGTCCAATGTGACTATTTCAGTTTTCTCACTTGATGATTCACTACTAGCCTTACATGTTTCGATCCATTTGGATCATTAGAAACCACTATCACAACAGTTGTCATATCAAATACACATATAATGTCCAAGTACACAATGTTCCATCTATCACTCACAGCAGCCTTTCTGGTTACAAAAAAAATTAAAATTGTTTTAAAGTTTTAAAACTTTGTTAAAAATTAAAATACATAAACCATAGGGTTCGTGTAAATAACCCGTCAATTTAAGTGCCTTTTGTAAAGATAAAGACCTTGAAGTTTGTGCAGTGAAACTTCCTTTTCTGCATGGTAATATTTGTGTTCTATCTATTTACAGAGCACCATCCAGTAACTCTGCTTATTTTCTGATGGCATTAGACACCATTTTAAATTTCTTGCATGATACTAAGTTAGAATTGATAATATGTAGTGATATCAATATTAATTACTTAATTGATAGTAATAACAAGAAACAACTGGATGTTCTATTATCTTCTTTTAACCTTTCTAGTATAGTTCATGGTGCAATCCAAAAGTTTCCGAAATATATTAATAAAAACTATTACATCTTACCTAGATCTTAGTCTGTACCATCACCTTCAAAGTAGTCCCCTTGGGAGCGCATACACCGATCCCAGCGTTTCTGCCACTTTTCAAATGCATCCTGGAAGTCTTTCTTTGTTAGGGTGTTTAGTACCATCTGCGTTTCCGCTTGAATTTCCTCAACTGTATCAAGTCTTCGCCCCTTCAACTTTATTTTCATCTTGGGGAAGAGAAAGAAGTCGCATGGAGCTAAGTCTGGCGAGTACAGTGGGTGGGGAACAACTGCCATCTTGTTTTTAGACAAAAATTCCTGCATAATGTAAGCCATATGGGTCATGCGTTGTCATGGTGGAGTACCCAGTCGTTCGTGCACCACTTCTCTGGACGTTTTCTCCTCATGTTCTCCCTCAAACGCCTTAGAACATCGTGACAGAACTCTACTGACTGTCTGACCAGGAGGGACGAACTCCTTATGAACAATCCTGTCAATATCAAAAAACAGAACATGGACTTAATGTTGCTCTTGACTTGTCGAACTTTTTTTTGGCCGAGGTGAAGAAGGGCTCCTCCATTGCGATGACTGCTGCTTGCTTAGATGGTCGTAGCCATAAACCCAACTTTCGTCACCAGTGACAACCTTTAAAAGAAAGTTTGGATCCTCTTGAAGCTGTTGCTGAAGTTCCCTGCAGACTTCCAAGCGATGCTGCTTCTGTTCATTTTGCAGCAGTTGTGGCACAAACTTCGCCGCAATCCTCCTCATGTTCAGTTCCTCTGACAAAATTCATTGACATGTACCATAACTTAGTTCCAAGGTGTTACAGAGGTCCTGGATGGTCAGTCTACGATCTTGCAAATCATATCCATAACTTTCACGATATTTTCTGGTGTTTTGCCCGTTGACAGCCGTCCCGAACGATCGTCATCATCAGTCAATGTTCAGCCATTTTAAAAGGCTTATACCAGTTGCAAGTTTGTGTCTGGCCTAAACTGTTCTCAGCAAAAGCTTGCTTCAACATTTTGTGTGTTTCTGCAGCGGTTTTCCCAAGTTTGAAACAAAACTTTATACAGACGCACTGCTCTCTCAGGTCAGCCATCACAAAACCACAAACTCACAGAAACACAACAATGGAAATACATTTACCAACAACAAACCCAACCACTCAACTCGACACCGCTTGCCACACTGATTCAAGAAGGATGTGTGAGGAGACACCTAGTGGTATTTCGATGTACTCATAACCATTCGCATGCAAAATTCAAATTTCGGAAACTTTTGGATTGCCCCATGTAGATTTTCCTACTAGGATCCAAACCAACTCAGGCTCTACTATTGATAATATTTTTATTGATCTTCACAGACATGGAAATTATACTATATGTCCTCATGTTAATGGACTGTCTGACCATGATGCTCAGATCTTATATATGAATAACATTGTTTTACAGAACCGAAATAGCTGTAGGCATTTTGTGAGGAAATTCAGTAAAGCTTCTAGAAACGAGAACTTGACTCAATTAAGTTATGAAACTTGGGATAGTGTATTTGTTGATCAGAATATTGATTCAATTTTCAACTCATTTCTTAATACTTATTTAAAAATAATTAATTTTAGCTTCCCTAAAAAATGAATTATGAATAATATGAAATATAACCTTTGGACAAAGGGCATAAAGACCTCATGTAAACGTAAAAGAGAGCTCTATTTGTCCATGAAGACCAGTAATGATCCAAACCTTAAATACTATTTTAATACTTACTCTAAAATTCTGTCTAATGTCATTAGGGCAGCCAAAAATCATTATTATAATGGATTAATTTTGAATTCTAACAATAAAATGAAAACCACATGGAATATTATTAAAACAGTTACTGGTAAGAGAATCAATAATAGTGAAGTACAGTTCTTAAATGTTGAAGGGAAGCTAAATGATAGTCACCAATTAATTGCTGATTCTTTAAATAACTATTTTCTGACTATAGTAGATAAAATTAACAGCAAAAATGCTATGAGTGATCATTTTATAGAGTTTGATATTGATAAACATTGGAGCTATTTATCTCATGCATTTCTGACTCCCTTCCCTGAAATTAAACTTAAACCTAGATAGACTAAAGAAATTGAAAACATAATTAAGTCATTAAAACACAAAAATTCTAATGGGTATGATGAAATTTTGGTCAATATTCTAAAAAATAGCACACCTGTATTATTTCTCCTTTAACTTATATCTGTAACAGAGTACTTTCAACGAGTGTTTTCCCCACTCGTTTGAAATACTCTGAAATAATACCATTATTTAAAAATGGCGATAAAATGAATACGATGAATTATAGACCTATATCGTTACTTACATCCTTTTCAAAAGTTATTGAAAAGGTTATATTTGTAATCATCAACAATTTCAAAAACAGTCCTAGCTATAGTTTACAAAATGCTTTACATCATATATAACCTCATTTTTGTTGTGTCTTCTTTCAATGAAATGCATACAATTCATGTATAATGGTAATGATATGTCTGGCTGTCCATCTATCCACATACTTCTTAGAAAAAAAAATATGTTTTTTTCTCATGTATCACCCAAGTGCAAGAAGACCAACTATGACATTTCAAAATGTAAGGCAAGACTAGAAAACCAAAGTATAACTACAAGAGTTGAGGTTTTAAAAATGATCTACATGATTAGAAACTTCTTATTAATGAGCCAATGACTTAGGAGAAGCAAAATAAATACCAAATATACATATACACAAAGAAACGCTGATACAAACACTGATGCATGGTGACAGCAAATAAACCACCACTCTTTTATGTTCATATACAATATATGCAGTTTTCACGGCTCCTTTGTGTCACTGACCTACTGTAATGATAAAGATACAGGCTATATAATATTAAAATACATAATTATATATCCCCTGCCCTGCTTATTGCACCAAAATGTAGTACATAAACATCATCTATACTGAGAACAGAACACAGCATGCATAAGTTGTATACCAAAGCCTTGAGAAGTCACATACTCAACCATAGGATTTCCTTCCAACATTCACTTTACAACCTGGTAATTTAGTAATGCAATTACTACTACCTTCTTTTATGAATGCTTACCTTCCCATGTTTAACAATGTAGTCGAACAGCTCTCCTCCAGACACATACTCCATAATCATAAATATATCAGTTGGGGTACTGATCACCTGATAACTGCAGAGCAACACACATAACATCAGCACAATACAGAACGGTGTACTTTGCCAGCTGTAGGTAGAACTAAATTACCTGCACTGTCATGGCAGGGACAGACGATCAGGATAAAGGACAAGACAAACTCTTGCACCAGACATGTAAATCAAAACAAAAAAAACAAACTCTGTGATATTAGTCTGCAAACGGACTATACCGACCGAGCAACCACCGCTTATTGGCGAAGTTTAGTGCCAACTTTTATGGATAGAGGGTGTCGCGTGGTCAGCGCAACGAAACCTCACGGCCATTAATTTCGGTTTCCTAGACTGACATTAAAAACTGATGTAGGACTTGAGGTTCTCACAGCAGTGCTTATGAAAAGTAATATCTTCTAGGATATAATGCCATGTAGTCTGCTGAAAGCAAACTAAAGTTTCTGAGGAACATATTGCCTCCATCTTTGTGGCTGAATAAGCCAAACTTTCAACACACAGGGTTCTAAGAACTGGTCTTCACCTGACCACCACACTTTGAGTTATTTCAGCACATCTAGATTCAGATAACTTATGTAACTATGTAAAATATGAAGAATGGGAATATAGGTTATATAAAGAATTAATTAACATTTTTCAAATAATTCACACATCAAACTCACAGTTTTATTATGTGTGGATGCCGGAAGAGTTTCAGATTTTGGATCTCCCGACGTATTTTTCCAACGACATCAAGGCTCTTGATTTTCTGCCTATTTAGAATCTTCACAGCCACTTTATGCTTTGTAAGCTGATGTTCACCAACTGTGAAGATAAACATAATAGGTAATAGGTAACCTGTTGACAAGGACCTTGCCTGAAAGGCATACACACGATATGAGTTAACTCCAGGCATTCTAGACCTTGGCACCAAAACAGGTGAGTGATCACCTTCACATTCTAATTACTTTACCCTTGTAATTAAAACTCAGTTCATTAAATTAGTTGTTTATAAACAAACTAGTTCACACTTCCAAATTTTAACACAGCAACAACTGATTTATTTTGTTCTTAATTAAATTTGCTACAATGTGGTATCCATGTTAGGTGAGTCCCCTGTCACCATGGAATGGAGCGTCCTTAGGTTGCAGATGGAGATGACCTCCAGGTATGGAGAGAAGCTGCGAATATATTGAATAAGCAGTAGCATACAGTCGACAAGGGGTGGTCCTCCAGCTTGGGGGTTGGGCATGCGGCTAACAACTCCTCACCATAAAAAATTACTTTGTTATGAAAATGAAAACAAAGCCTCGGACATGGACAGATCCTCTGGAAGACCAAGGCATAGGTGGGTGTACAATATTAAAATGGATCATAGAGATTTTCATTTCGTGCATCCTGTTGTGTTGTGACAGACTAATAAAGAAACTGGACCTTAGAGATAGGATGGGATGGTATGGATTGGATTGATCTGGCTCAGGATAGGGACCAGTGGAGGGCTCTTGTGATCACGGTAATGAACTTTCGGGTTCATGAAATGCTGGGAAATTCTTGAGTAGCTGCAGATTTCGCTTCTCCTCAAGAAGGGCTCAGCTCCATAAGTAAGTATAATGTGGTATATCATCAAAACCAACTGAAGTGGGGAGCATGAGCCAAGCTGCAATGTTTAGTGATTCTGCATGCATTCACTTTACAACACTTTATCAAAAGATTATGTTACGTAGTCTGAGATGAGACACAGTAACATTCGGAATTCACAGAAGGAATACTGGAAGCAGTTATGACCTATTTTAACATTCCACACAGACATTCACTTAGGAACTGAAAAATTACATATATCTTGACTATGTCTGTCTTATTACTGTGCCTGCCTGCTCTAATATAAGAAATGAAACAACTTGATTAATTTTAAAATTTGAGTTCAGTGACAGCCTAGAGGGTTAGAGTGGCTTGGGTGAGGTGTACTTCCTCTCTTAAAAAGGCTTAAGCTATTCAGCCAAAATGATCCGAGGTCAGAGATCTCAATTTTAGTTCTAAACACCATCAGCTAAGAAACTGGCTCAACTGGTAACATTTCTAACTTCTATTTGGGAGGTGCCTAGTCAAAATTTTGGCAGCACACCAACTATCCAGAGGTACTTTGTGACTTTCCTCACTCATTCATGGCAAATTCTGGGATATTTTGAAATAGGCCATAAATATTTCTCCCCCAGTTCTTTCAAGTGTACTGAATACAATCATACTGTCATATTATTAAAAGTGGAATAACTACTGTAGTTGATACAGCATCATCAAATTGCCTTCTGGCTATCCATGCCCAGCACTGTACACCCTGTCAGCAACCAACAAAATGATTAACTGTATAAAGAAATCTTCTTGCATATAAATGATATATGAAATTGTTTAACAGTTCATTCTCATTCTGTCTCTTTCCAAAATTCTTCACATTATAAACACACAAAACAATTTTACCAATCGTTTTGTTTTGCTGTTTTTTTATCACTTATATCCTATACAATATAAGTGGTAAAAACTTTTGCTTGTTTTTGTTTAAATAAAGCATTCACAACTGAAGAAATGCAAAATTCTTGTTTTTCATAAGGCTGAACCAGAACTTCGGCTCAATGAATTTATTTTGTGATAGTGTCGGCTTTCAGGCAAGTGAACTCCAACAGAGAACTACTTTCCTGCATGAATTCATATAAACTCAAGTCATCTGATGTTAATTACACGTATTATGAGAACCACTCATGGTAGCTCATACAGCCATTCGAACAGCTCACAAACATGCAGAACAACATCCCAACCCCCCGTCAGGAAACCAAGAAGGCTTAACAACCTCTGATGGCTCATGCTATAGTAATAATATAACAGAAGAAAATTCTTTGCGCCCTCACGACAATGTTTGGCGCCACCAGCATATCATTTAATCTGCTCATTTCCTCATGGCTCATTATGGAATCAATCTTACTCCTATGTGATATCCTTATGCTAGGCCTATATATGATACACAATTACAAACGTTCGGAGAGGGTCTATTTTCACTTACTCTTTACTTTTCCAAATGTACCTACACCTAACGTCTGCCCCAAAGTGTAGTGTCCTATCTTCACAATGGGCTGCTGTGAAGTCTGCTGCACCTTCTCTGCCATTGCTAATAAAAGTTCACAACGTCTTCCGTAATTAAGGTAATTAATATGACACTAAACCAAAATGACTGTTGACAACAGATAACTGACGTAACCTAAAAACTGTTCCAGTGCAACACACAGATAAATATACATTATGAATACACTACGCATCCTTGACTGATACGTATCCCTGATGTCAAGCCATGGATTGTACCGTACTGCGGGTTGCGGGCATCGGAGACGCTAAACCACCGCGACTTCATTTCACAGCATTTCTGCTCACTCATATCGGCGCTGATGTCAAAGATTACCTCTTATTTTGCCTACGTCAAAGTGGTCGAAGTCGTCCAAGTCACTTTACGGCTGATGGGCAGTCAGTAAAACGCACGCATCAATCCCGTTTGCAGTCCATTCATTAGTCATCATGGCTGGGTGTAGTCCCTTTCTGTCGAGCCACTGTCAAGTTATAATACAACTCATAAGATGATTTTACTATAAACCGTTATGTTGCTCCTGGGCTTAATGAATTAAGCACCAAGCCATGAAGACGTAGTGGGGGGTGGAAGTATGGCTCCACCATTCTTGACCTTGGCACAAGGTGGAGGTCAGTGATCAGCTTCGAGCCCTGACCGCTTTACCATTGGGCAGACAACCCCTGGTACCCACTGTACAGGAAGCTGGCTTGGTCCCAGAGCCGGTCTGGACACTGCGCAGAAAAAAAGAAGTCTCTTGTCCCTACCAAAAATCAACCCTGACCATTCAACCTGAAGGCCGTCGCTATATCGGCACCAGAATTTACGTGCCAATAGTACGTCGTGTTCTCAAGTGGTCACTCATTCAAGAGCTAACCACGCTCAATGTTGTTTTACAAACAAGGTGTAGCCGTTCTCTCAATATTATCAAACTATTTAAAGAATTAATTATGCACATTAAGCATATTTGCATAGTATGTACTATTTTACATGAGACATTTGCCAGTACATGCTTTGTATTTAGCTAGACCTACAGCAGCAACGTAGTCATTTTAACAATCTGAAGTTTAGCCCCGTCATGCTGGAGTCTCTTACGTTTTCTGTGCCCGCATTCGACTCGTCATGTGTTAGCAATGCATGCACTTTCGTCATTTTGCGTTATTCTTCCTTGCTGTCTGCGTAATTCTACGATAAAATCATAGCCTACGTAATTTTGAAATACAAGGGCACATCGCAGAACAGTTGGTGCCTTGGAAGGTTGTGAATTGTGAGAACCATGTCTCGTAGTAATGGTTTTAAAAGCACTTCAACAGCATGCTCGTAGGCGTTGAAACACCAAATGATAATTATCGACGCGAACTCCCAAGCTTTGCACATATTCTTTATTGTGGGTGCTTTGTTGTTGGCTAGTTTAATGTGAGCTAGTTAATAGTTCATTCTTAAAAGCAAATAGACTAAAGAATTTTTATGCTCGCATTCGCTTCGGTCGTCTGGGTATTCTCAATATAATCCTTCTACTAAAATATATACCATAATATTTTGTTGTTTCCAATAGGATAACGTGTTCGTTCAATGCACAAGTAGGCTCAGCCGATATTCGTACACCCAAGAAATAGATAGCATGTGTCTTTTCCTCGATCACCATGACGCCACCGAGGGGAGGACGCGCTGCAACTTTCTGCACGCATGACCCTCTTTTGGATTTGTATCATACTCTCACGATTTACGGGTATGAATATAGATGGGGTATGGATTGGTGAATGGGTTTATTAACCACTTATACAAACGACTATGAACCGCAAATAACTACAGCGCTATTGCTAATCTCCACAGTTTACAAATCACCACAGCACCTGCTAAACCTTTTCCAGCTTGCTGTCTTCACCAGCCGTTCCCTGGCAACAGCTTCTACCAGTGGAGATTCAGCTTTACGCACTCAGGTCCTCTTGTCAGAGCTGCCCATGCAGAACTCTTTGTCAACTGTCAACTCAGCTATAGTGCCATCTCTTCTCAGCCTCCTTTACAGAACTCAACTAACTGGTTGCCCAGTTTCTCTCCTTCTCTTCCCCACTTGCATGCGTAACCGTTGCCTCGGGATAAACTACAGTAAGTCAGATCATTATGACGTCGACAGAAATATGACATGTGGATAATGAACTGAAAAGGCTTGGAACAAAGCGGTAATAGCCTAACTGAAGGTACTGTCCTGGCATTTGCTTGGAGGCGACATAGCCACGAAAAAATTCAGCCAAGACAGTAGGTGTCCCGGTTTAAATTCCGAGCATGAGGAGGGTGCAGTAGGAGTAAACACCGTGCAAACCGAGCCGGAGGGGGGCCACGGAGTATAGATGTCACAAGCATAGCTCTCGGCAAAGAAACGGTGGTACGAAGCCTGGAGGAGGACGCAATGTGGCGTACAGACCCGTTGCTAAACGGTGGCTCTGTAAACAGCTGCAGTTGCTAGGTAACGCCTGTAACAATGGAAGAACGGTCTTCTGTGGTCCACACAGCGGCCGTTTCTGGGCAACGGACACGAACACAAAAACAGAAAAGCGTGTTCTGTGTATCCGTGCTGATATAAGTAGCACAGTGTGTTCAGTCAGTTGAGATTTCAGCTGAGTTCTGCATGGGAGGCCGTGAAAATATAAACTGAGTGCGTGAAGCTCAAGAATCTACACTGTTAGAAGTTGCTGCCAGTGAAAAGCTGGTGAAGACATAGCAGGCTGGAAAACGTTTAGCAAGTGATATGATTTGTAAATTCTGCAGATTAACGGTGGTGCTGTAATTACTTGTGCTTACAGGTCCCATGTATAAGTGGTGAAGTCACACAGACACATGACAAATTATTTTAATATATATAGGCCTACAAATTTATATGTGAGGNCGTGGTGCTGTAATTACTTGTGCTTACAGGTCCCGTGTATAAGTGGTGAATAAATCCATTCACCAATAAAACCCCATCTATAGTCACACAGACACACGACAAATTATTTTAATATATATAGGCCTACAAATTTATATGTGAGGAAGCTTCCTACAATTATTATTGAGAGTATGAGACTTCAGTAATCTTTGTGTGCACTGATCAACCAAGTTGTGTATTCCTTTTGATTAATGATCCAGAAGACTTATGGAGAAATTATATTGGACATAAATGTGCTTCATTCTTCTCTACAACTCAAGTTCAAAACATTTGTCACTCTGACAAATATTTAGCAAGTTATATACTCGAGTTATGTACAAGCGCACTTGTATGTGTTCACTTAAGGGTTTAATTACTTTTGTCCGATTTTAACCAAAAGTAGAAATGGTGAACAAATTTGAGTAAAACTACCCAGTATCAAATTTCATGAATATAAATTCAGTGTTTCTCAAGTTGTTTCATACATTTTGACAGAGCAAACTTAGGGATACCATAAAGCTACAAACAAAGGCTAAAGACTGGTGGTATTCTACCAATTACTGCACATTTGTATGAACTTCTGCATACTGTCACCACATATACACAGGAATATTCAGATCCCACAACATAAAAAAATTTCAGTACAGCAAGAGGAGATCATGGAGAAGTGTCATATGGGGTTAATAACAGGTCTCAACAGGAGATAAGAATACATTCATATACAATGTATTTTATTCCAATTTTATAAATTGTATACACATGTACTGTATTATAAAACTATCATAAAAATATGAATTGTCTACAAGTTACAGTACTTATCTGGCTTTTAACTAAACAACTGTAACTCACTGGTCCCTCATGTTATAACTAGCATGACTGTCATGCAATTTATAATGGAAAAAATTCCTGGTCTGGAAGAAATTTTCCATCCTTGGCTTTGTCAGGTACAATAAACAATGACATGACTGCTAATAACCAGTCAGGAATGTGTTACTTCAATAAATTCAAATTTGTTCTGCTTGTAAAGTAAAATGAATCAATGTATTTATATTAAATAGTCATCCTGTTCATAACTTCATTATTAAAAAGACATTCTTAACAATCTCCAAATTCCAACATCCCAATCTGGAATGCATTCATTATAAAAGCACTTTCAACTCAGCAACATGATAAAACCACCAACAATATTCAAAATGAAAACAAGTTTTCTGAATATGTTAGGCCTACAAGAATAGCCTTGATATTTTACTTCTTTATATAAAGGTCACTTAAATCTTAGTACAACATTCCTGTACTTTTTATGAACAGTGTCATGAGTAAGGGCTATAACAGAGTGTTTTGCCATACTAATCTAACAGTTCAAGATTTGTGCTGAAAAGCACAGGAGCTGGTCAACTACAGCCACACTTGATTACTTGATTTGAAGTGTCATAAATACCGACAATAAGCATTAACTGTAGTGGGAAATTTTTAAAATTTCCTGAAATCTCCTTACAATGGACTTTTTTAAGATACTGTAATAAAAATCTGACACAGTTCAACCACCAACATAACTGAAACTGACTTCAAAACATTTCAAATTATGAACGCTTTCCATGCAGTAGCATTTCTAAGACTTCAGTATTTTGATTTTATGGGTACAGGAATAGGTTTTAAAACACAAATAAAGTATAAATGCATATAACTGACATAAATTCCATCTTTCTTTAGGACTTTACCTTCTAACTATATGTAACTTTAAAACCCCCTTTTAACATCAACCCACATATTTCCCAGACCGGGCTGTCTGATTTCCTCCAATAATGTGAAAAAATACGGATCTGAATCTAACAATCCAGCCAAATATCTTCAACATCCTATGATGCTATTAGGAAGACGACAAACAACCTAATGTGTGAAAAACAAATATTTATAGATTTACACGTCATAAAATATACTCGTGCAGAGAAATGAAATCTGCAAAATTCCCACTTCCTTATTCATGTTCATAATTGAGTCTTAATTATTGTGCACAGCCTAGGCCATGTGACCCTACAATATCTAATGAGGGGGTCTGAACTTCCACTGTGAAACACCAAGGTCTCTATTTATGTATCAGTTGCTTCCTTTAATTCCTCTCATCATAAGTTACCAGTATAATGCAACTTTAATGCCAATGTACCCTACAAATTTCCAAACTTGTCTTTAAGTCTACCATTTCTGTTATGATTTAAGTTATACACAACGCCTCAAAGGAAATTAACTTATTTTATAAAAATAATAAAGACTTGTCTTCCTTTCAGCCAAATATATCAATCCCTTCTCACATCAGACCCTGAAATGCAAAACAACAGCAGTTTTCAGAAAATTCTCAACCTCTGGGACTGAAAAATGGTTGTTCGAATCAAGAATGAGAATCCTTTTCTTGGTTCAATTTTGAAAATTTGAGATCCACACATACCTAGTAAAGAATACAATTTATTGTTAAGACAAGAGTGACATTTCAGTCTTCTGTTCTCTCTCATGAAGGAAACTGAGTTATTTGAAGATATTTCCAACATCTTGGAATGTACCTTTGGACCTAAAGACCTTAAGTCAAATTTGACACTCACTCATATCTAATAGGCACAGAATAGTGTAATCTTACAACTCAACATAAACTGTATGTTTCATGTTAATGTTGATAGAGGAATCCACAGTCTTACAAACAAGTTAATTTCAGAAAATTACAGCCATTTAAGTAACACTTCAATAACAAACTAGACATATCTCATTTTGAAACGGGTCCTTCTTCCTTGGACATCTTTTGTGTATTATATCAATACAAAGAAACCTACCGTTTTCTCATATAAAGCTATTGCAGATTCCTTCAAAGCAAATTTATGGGTTATAAAAATGATCTCTCTCAGGATATCAGATATTTATACTGCAGGATTCATATAATGGGTCATGTATGTTTCACTTTATTTCTAGAAGAAAATCTACCAAATACGTGTAATTTGAATGCCAGGACAGGTTACATAATACCAAATTGGAAGGATGAATATGAATGATAAACCTGCAAAGGGGTTGACCTATCTTAAAGCAGTACCCCATCATATTCCAAGAGACACTAAGGAAAATCACAAAAGCCTGCCATGATAAATGGTTCCCCAGATAACATGAATTTGGTAACATGGAATAGGTATGCTAAAATATGCATGTGTGGTATTTGTATCTGAAAAATTATAAAACATTTCATTCATATATATTCATGTGTGGGTCTTTGTTAAGTACTTCTTTCTCTCTTACCTGATTTATTAAATACATGAAAACTCACCTGTAACAGAACACAAGATCATTTAACTAATTTCAGCAGGTGAAAGACTAAACATTTTAGGCATAACTGTACGTAAAAAATAACATCAATTTTGCGTGACAATATTCTGACATGAAATTATCTGTTAAAACCCAGACCTACACAAACAGTCACATGACATTGCTGAGTATGAGAGTACATAAAAATGCATTCAAGTGCACACATATGGGTGAACATGCATGTGCCGCATATATTGGATATTCCCTTAAAATAAGCCACAATTGCTTCATTTCTACTTTTCAATTCATTATTCATAATCACCATACTACTCCATGCTGTACAACCTATGCAGCTATAAAAATAATATTCAAAACAAAGAACACCAAACCTTCATACGAAAATCTCAACTGTGGATGTTACACAGAATGTCAGATTGGAAATTACATCTGCTTTGAGCAGTACTACCTGTTATCATCACACCTGGTATACCATATTCCATGCACTGATTGGTAAGACTGTCATTACTCTAAACACACATTTAAGTATAGTGGCATAAGGCAACAACATAAGATGGGAGGCATGTAGCTTACTTCACCCTGTAACTTTCAACAGATGGGAGCAAGGTGAACAATACCACTGCCAGCCTTCTGAGTTACACATTTCAGCATTAGAAACATCTAAGTAATCAGCCTCTATTCAACTCTCTTACTTTGTTCTCTGTTGTTTGGGTGAGTCAAGGCATGCTCTAATTCAATATCTGTCACCAACAAATACTAAGATACAAATGGGGTTTCAAGAAAAGTTTTATGTATGTAACTCAGGGAATTACTGTACAGTAAATTATTTTTCATTTAATCTCAAAAAAGTCGGACTGCACTTCACAGGCATATACAATCTTCAGAGACCTTGGCATGTGACAGGAAATTTCTCTAACTTAGCACTTGCACTTCTTATCATCCCTGTGCAACCTTGTTGATGTATTAAAATTTACACTTGAAAGGCATTCATCTCTTCCTATTATTCAAACATTACATGTTTCAGCCCAATTGGCCATCATCAGGTGAATAAGTTGTAGAGTTAACTGCTGCTCCATTCTCATACTGCAACACTTTGCATTTTAAATGTGTAAAATACTTACAAAATATCTTTGAATTATTTTTAAAATATCATGCCATAATTATTAAGCTGTATATATGTGCTGTTGGGCTCATCATGGTAGCCAAGCAGTCTAAGGCAGGTACTGTCTTCACTCACTTGGAAGCTGGGATCGTGGATTCAAATCCCACACAATGTATGGATGAATGGTGTGTGTATGCGTTTATTCTGTGTTTCTGTTGTTCTGTGTTTAGGTAGAGGTCTTGCGACAAGCTGATCACCTGTCCAAGAAGTCCTACTGTCTGTAAAAATGATCATAAAACTGAGAAATCAGCCCTAAGCTTCACAGTGGGAGCAAGAGGAGAAAAAAAATTTGTTCACACAAAAGTGGCATCTACCAAATGAAGTGCCTAGACTGCCCACTAAAACACATAGGTCAAACAGGCAAAGCATTCCACGCTAGAAACAAAGAGCATATACAAGCAATTAGAAATAATAATACTAATCTGGGATATTTAAACCATATATTAAACATGGGACATATATATGGAACAATAACACAAACAATGGACATTATTAGAACACAGAAAAAAAGAATACCACATATACCAATCAGTAAAAATAACTTAAACATGAATGATACAAACATTGTCAGACACAACCCAATAGTCAGAACATTACAGGAAATGAACACCAGTTAGCAGCGCACACATCCTACATTCTACATAAAAACAGAACCAACTGCATGAAACATTCAGAACAGCTATACACAGCACAAAAAAAATAATATAAAAATAAAACACACCAACAGAATGTAACATTACAGTGCTAGAGCAACATTTAAAAAAAAAATATTCACTTATAAACAAAACAGTAATATAATCCATTATTATATTGTCACGTCTCCTGGTAACACAACAAGAAGTTAATGGGTTCTGGATTAGGCGAAGCTATTTATGGACAAGTCAATTACAATTACAATCACTCTGAAATAACGTCTCCCACACAATGCAACCTGGCTAGTCTGTCGTCTTCTGGTTCTTAGCTGAGCAGGTTTCTTCTGTTCTCAGCTCTGTTCTATTCACTTTGTTCTGATCTCTGCTCTAGTCCGGTCTCTCATCTTCTGCAGTCAGACAGACTAGAAGACACCTTCTTCAAGGGTTCCATTTCACATGTTGTTTCCGCCAGTAGCTAGTGTATTTGTTGTCGCGTGAACCTGTTTCATTGTCATCCTGACAATAGAGAACCCTGAATACCGAGCCGTTGCCCAACAATAGACACCCGCTTTGACTCAGATATTCTGGTTTTTAGGCAGCACACCATAATATATTACAAATACACCAGACCCACAACACATGCATACAACAAAATAATTACAGCACATTTTAAAATATTTTATATGTATTTACACCTTTAAAATGCAAAGTGTAGCAGCATGACAATGGGGCAGCAGTTTCCTCTACAACTTGGTACACTTGATGATAGCCAGTTGGGCCAAAACATGTAGTATTCAAATAACAGGAGCAGATGAAGGCTTTCGAAGTGTGAATTTTGATGTATTGACAAAGTTGCACATGTACGGTGAGAAGTGCAAGAGCTAATTTAAAATATACAGTGCAACAGGATGATGAAGTATAATCTTATGCAGAGAAATTTCTGTTTTAGAATATCACAGCTCCCAATTCAATTGGAGTTCCAAACAGAACCAACAATGTAAATACCAATTTCACATTAATATGAAATAGGTATTTACATTATTGGTTCAGTCACAAAATGGCATATTCTTGTATGTTATACAGACTACATTTACAACAAATACTCAGTCTCCAACCATTATTACATCATACTATAATTTTAAATACATTCATGACACTTCCATTTTAATCTTCACAGTGTGACATCAACATATTTTTAACTTAAAATATGCACCTGACTCATGATGCAGAAATTAAACAAATAAATTTTAAAATAAATATAAGCTTGGAAAATAACAGCAGGTAAAATAATTTTACATACCATTTTAGTTTAGTAAAAGTCTAAGATTGCAATATTTAATTTCAATCTTGATGCCAACTGACCATCAATATTCTACAGAAAGCCATATATAAATACAAGGTGTTAATCTTGCCATTTTGCGTTTCTTTGCAAAATTACTTTATAAAACACTGTGACCATTTTACAATTGCTAAAAATGAACCAAACAAACAAAAACAAACTCTGTGGCTTTATTCTGCAATCAAACTATACCAACAGTGATTGCCGCTTGTCGGCAAAGCTGGTGCCAACTTTAAGAGGATAGAGTGTGTCGCGTGGTCACCACAACGAATCCCCACGGCCATTAATTTTGGGTTTCTAGACTGGAGCCTCTACTTTTCCATTCAAGTAGCTCCTCAATTATCCTCACAAGCCTGAGTGGACCCCGTTCCAGACCCACTACTTCTCAGAAAATCTGGGAGCGCCGGGAATCGAACCCAGGACCGCTGGATCTGTAGCCAGGAACTCTGACCACTAGATCACGGAGGCAGTCTTGCTAAAAATGAACTTCAGCATAAAATTATTTATAAAACATTTCATGGGGTTAATCAGAACAGTTCCTTTTGTGAACTTTGTATAGCAGTTAACTATAAATGTTGCTATGGAATCACTCCACTGCATAATAATATCAACCTGCCAATACCTGTTAAATAAATAAAATAAATTAACATAAAAATACTGCAGTATAACGCAAATGCTCTTTTGTCTGTTTCATAATATAACGAGACTTCCTTAATATGATAATTACTGATTACTTACCAAAGACACACACAAACTTAGGACAGACTATGGACTAATTCTTTATGGCCAGTGTTTCAAGCGCACAGGCAACAAAGTCCATCGAGACATTTACAGTCTAAACGCAGTGGCAACAGAGCCCAGATGCCACACAGTAAGTCAATGCGTTCTGAAAAGTGATGATCAGTGCTAATAGAACATGCTGTTTCACATTAAAGACATCTTAAAACAAGGAAATTATAGCCTAAAATGCAGTGATGTCTGTAATAGTAGGTGTATCAACAATATCAAAAGAAATGGCATGTTTCAGTAACCACCAGTATTTAATGGTATCTTCATCTTTAATCTTCTGCATGCTATGTGCTGACTAAACTGGCCTGGTGTACTTGCGGTAAAGTCATCACATCTGAAGAGGTCAGTTTGTTGGTAACGAATTAGTAAAATTTTTGCTGACAGATGGCATTAAGTGACATACCACTGTCTACAGGAAAGAATAAATTTTAGAGGAAATATGTGAAGGTGCTCTGAGGGAAATATTGTAGGTTTCTCTCTGCAACTGCACATACCACAATGCAGTCTTGGCATTTCTAGCAGGCACTTCTATGGAGGGCCATGGCAGTCCAAGGGTCAGTAACAGTTCCACCAGGTAAAAGACTGGTTAGTTACCAAGGGGATCTTAAAAAAAGGAAACCTGCCAACCACCTACTGATCCACCAACTAAGCTGCAAGCATTCAACCAGAATATGCTTACTTCCTCAGCAATGTTACTGTCAGCTGAGAACAGTCTGATTTCCTTCCTTAAAACTCTCCCAGTACAACATACAGTGTGCTGTCAAGATGAATCCTTATCCACCTGATGACCACACTACCTGACCACCACAGCTGTCTGCCAGTTACCAAAGCAAACATGGTGTAGCAGCTCCTTGGCAGATGGCCGCAATGCCGAGCTGATACGCAGGCACTGCAGTGCCAAATCTTTAGCTGCCCAACTCAGCTTGTCAGGAATTAATGGAGGATCCTTACTAGATGCTATCTGTAACATCATCATCAAGTGATCAACAGGATTAAGCAAAATAAGGTGACCAAGGGACACTAGTATCTACCACCAAAGTTAAAAATGCACAGATATTTGTTTCATTTTATGGTTTACTTTAGAGTGCTGTGTATGGTGGGTACTTAAGAATATTAAACCACACAGAACTAGGACAACCAGACTCATTTACTGGAGATAATTAAATTTACAATGCAACCATAACACCTCATGCATTTGTAATAACTTTCTTTATAGTAACACTCATCATAGTTGAGGGATTTGGTAAGTGACTCATGCCTTTAATGTTAAATTATACTGGGTGTTCCAAAAGTATGTTTACAACTCTGAAAGGCTGTACAATTTGAAGAGAAGTACACTCAACTCTCGATTAACCGGGGGCAGATAAACTGGTTTGCGGCTTAACCGGGGCTTTTTTGAGGCTTATATGTTGTTTAATATTCATTCACTTCTGTTTCACATGGTGAGTTGTAACACTATTTTCAGACTAGTGTGAACCGAGCTCTGCATTTTTTGGTCCCGTTATACTAACACAATGTTCTAGGGTAGGGGTGAAAGAATGCAAGGATTTGCGGAAAGTTTCAAGGACAGATACACCGCCCCAGTTAGTTTCTTTGTATCGATCTTCAAGTGTGTTAGCAAAATGTCAGGGTGTAAAAGGAAGCATGTTGTGTTAAGTATTCAACAGAAAAAGGAAAATGCTGTGAAAAAGTAAAGGACAATATTAAATTTTTTTAAGTGTTAAGTGTGAATATTCGTAAAAAGTGTTGGATGTTGTTGAAGACTGTGATTGAAATAACTAATTCATACTTCAGTGTAATGTAAAAAAAAGTATTAAATAGGCCATGAGATGACATAAAAATGAGGTTGAATAAATTGAAATACAGGTAGGCCTATAGTATTATGAAGGTACAGTATTACAGTACTACTTTTAATAAAATTTGTCTTAACCGGGTTTTCGATTAATCGTGATTTCCATCCCCACCATTATCCCGGATAATCGAGAGTTGAGTGTATGTGACATGGGAATGGAAAGTGCTAGTCTTTAAGCTGTTTAGTGATTCAGTGATTCAGTATTGAGGGGGTGGGTTTCCCCATGCACCGCGACTGATAGTCTATTGTACATCTCCCTTTTAATTTCTACCGTCTCCATCCCCTACCGATACTGGTGCTCACTATCAGCCCCTTTCTGCCAGTGAGGTTTCTACCCTTTACTTGGCAGTGGTATCTAATAGTCCCTTTCTGTCAGCGAGTTAGTCCCTCCTCTGGCAGTGGTACCTAATACTTTAGCCCCTTTCTGCCAGCAAGGTTTCTACCCTCTACTTGGCACT